AGGAATTTAGTTTTTTTGGTTTTGTTTGTTGGTGCTCTAGAAGGGAAAAAAGCTCGACGCTTCTCATGACTGCTTATCATTCATGTAATTCGCTCCAATCCTTGACTTAACTAAGCGAAACTCGAGTTGAGGTATACGTGCCGAGAGAAATGATAAAATGTTGGCACAAGTGCAAAAGCTTTACTGATCATTTGTTCAATACGAGGGGATATGCAAAATGCAAAATTGTAGTTTGATTAGCAATTTTTTGCTAGATTTTAACATCTAGACATGATTTAGCTTAAAAGAGTAAAGATTTGCTTTGTGCTTACCGTAAATACTGTAATATTACGCCACCCCCCTCGTACAGTCGCGTAGTCCGTAAATACTGTAATAGTACCCCCACCGCCCCCTCGTACAGTCGCGTAGTCGCAAATGTTTTTGAGTATTTCATTTTTTCAAAGCGCCCTTACTTTCAAAAAATGTGTCTTTGGTATGAAAAAATAGCCCTGAATTTCAGCTATTTTTTGATGCCTAAACGCACATTGTAGCATAAACCAGTGTCGAGAAAAACTCGTTCAAACCTAGACTACGCAACGCTCCGCACCGTCATTATGGGGTGGGGTACTATTACAGTATTTACGGTAGGTAATTAGAGTTTTTAAAGGACAAAAAGAGGAACCGCAATTAGTCCAACCGAGAAGTCCAACTAAAAACAAAAACAGAAAAACAGAAATAACAGAAATAAATTGTGTTACTTGAAGGATTATTGGGGGACTTTCAAAGAAAAACATTTCAAACTAAGGATTTTTAGTATTCCATTTCTCAAAGCGTCCGTACTTTCAAAAAATAGCCCTGAATTTCAGCTATTTTTTGATACCTAAGCGCGCATTGTAGCATAAACCAGTGTCGAGAAAAACTCGTTCAAAGTTAGACTACGCAACGCTCCGCACCGTCATTATGGGGATGGGGGTACTATTACAGTATTTATGGTAGAAATCAGGTACAACGATTGGCTGAGACTTTTCGTTTTTTTCGAGCGGTGGAATAAGATCAATAAAATTCTCCTTCACGTTCACTCGGTTTCAGTGCCGACAATGAGAATCATCGATTATTATATTACTTTGGTATGAAAAAATAGCCCTGAATTTCAGCTATTTTTTCGATAACTATTGTAGCACTATAGCATATCGTAATACCTTTAATAGTAGCCCCTCCCCCCGAAAATGCCGGTCGGAGCATCGCGTAGTCTAACTTTAAATGCATTTTTCTCGCCACCCGTTTATGCTACAGTGTTCGTTTAAGTATTAAATGAAAGCTGAAATTCAGAGCTATTTTTTGATGCCTAAACGCGCATTGTAGCATAAACAAGTGTTGAGAAAAACGCGTTCAAAGCTAGACTACGCAACACTCCGCACCGTTATTACGGGCACTATTACAATATTTACGGGATGTGCTTATTTAAAGAGATATTCATATTTGAAGAATTTATCAGTGAACGCAAATAAATCATGAAATTCACTGCAAGCTTCTAGAAAGCTTATCGATAATCCCCGCAATCACCCCTGGCTTCGGTGATCGTTGAAGACTGTGCAGAAAAGGGTCATCCTCCATCTCTGCCTCCATCTCTGCCTCCATCTCTGCCTCCATCTCTGCCTCCATCTCTGCCTCCATCTCTGCCTCCATCTCTGCCTCCATCTCTGCCTCCATCTCTGCCTCCATCTCTGCATGAAACTCATTTTATCCTAAATTTGGAAGATAATTTGCTTTATTTATTGGACTTTGCCTAGAATACAATTCTTTTAAACAGACTCTAGTAGTTTTCAATATCAAGACAAAAAGCAAAGAAAACTAATCTGATTCCATCATCAGCTAGTCCAAAGATGACCCTTTTCTGCACAGTCTTAATGAATCTGCTGAAATATAGCTCATTTTGCATTAAAAGGGCTTTAATTATAACTCTAATTGAAATTAAAAGCAAATCAAGATCAAATCATTTATCTGATTTAATTTGTGTGCAAAGTTATTGAATGATTTAACGTAATTGATATTCAAGGAATTAGTGGAAAAGTGATATTGATGTTCACATTGATTGGCGCTTTCTGAGAGTGAAGCGCAAAATACTCACCCTCACCGACGTGCTCTCACTGCGATATATCACTAAGCTCTTAGTGGGAGTGAGTATTTTGTGCTTATATCAAGTTTTTTTGATTAAGAACAATGAAGAGACCATTGATTAGGCATTTCCTTTGTCCTTTCAGCAAGAAGAGGCGCTTTCTGAGAGTGTGGAGCGAAATACTCACTCCCACTCGTGCTCACACTGCGAAAGATGACGGAACTTACTCAAATTTGTTTATCAAAATCAAATTGCTTCAAGAGCTAATTTGTTAAGACACCTAACATGAGTTTTTTGTGAGTTGGTACTCACATAAGATTTGTGTGAGTTGATACTCACTTTTCCACAAAGTTGTCCCATTTGTTTTTTTATTTATAGAAAGTCTATGAGGCTTGGGATCATTGTTGTATCGAAGAAGTTACTTCGTCGGTGCCAAAAAAAATAGCTAAAGTGATAATTTAACAACAATTTATTATGTCAGTTGATCAGTGAATAAACTTGTTCAATTTTGGAATATTTGGATCTTTTCGCCATTATTCAAAATCAACTTTGCCTTTCAATTTCAAGAAAAAAGAAGTCAAAACGAATGTTTTTTTTCTCTTCATTGTCTAAGCAGCTGCAATGTCACTATGATTTCTTTTGAAACTTCCAAACAAAAGCGAATCCCTTCTCTCAGTAATCGAATGTCTGAAGAAAGCTTTAAATCCAAAAAGTTTTCCTAGTCGATTGCTAGTAAATACAGCACGATCTGTTACAATATCTGTATCTGTTACAATGAGAAACTCGATTTTTGAATAAAGAATTTATTTAAAGAAAGTCTTTTCTATGAGCCTTGTTGTATCGAACAAGTTACTTCGTCGGCGCTAAACTTTTTGTTTATTGAATTTTTGGCCCCTAGGGCCCTCCAAAAATTGCGCTAACACCCATATTTCAGGGCAGAAAGCGACGGGTAATTGGTATCAGTTTTCAACCAGCAATAAACGCACCTCGGCTAGGCCTCATTGGTCACGTTATCGCCTCTGCGCAAAGCTGACTTTGAGAAGAAAATGGAAAGATATAGGGAAAGGGCGTGTGCCAGAAAGCGAGCGATTACGAGCGTTGCACCGAGAACGGCAGAGGCTTTGTGAAAGAGCCAGATAAGTAGGCGTAATTGGCCTAAAATAAGGCTCCGTTTACCATAATCTCCCGCCACTTTTCAAAGTTTCAGGGTGAACTTGTTTACTTATAGAGTTCTTTGAATTTTTGGTCTTTTTTACTTGTAGTTCTTTGAATTTTTGGAATTGTTTACTTCTAGAGTTTTTTGAATTTTTGAAACTTTAACCTAGTCATTTTATTTAATGTTTGCACAAAGATACAAACAAAAAATAGGAGAATAACTTAAAAATTTGATTTTTTTTGGTTTTATTTCCTCTTTCCATAACTCCAAACTTCAGACGACGTTGCGTAACGAGAAGAATATGAAGAATGAGTCCGCGAGATTGATGGAGAATTGGAATACGATGGATAAGAGTATCTGGGATAGGAGTACGACGGATATGAGTAGCTTGGATAAGAGTATCCACCGTATCCTCCATAAGACGGCCATCCACCACCGTAGCCCCCATAGCTATTGTAGTTTGGATAGCTGTAGCCACTAAAATGAGTCTGATGCTCAACCGATAATGAATATTTAGTGTTTTTTTTTCTTCTTTTAAATGAGCTAATTGACGCCTAACATTGGAATCTGCCAAGATATTCACCCAATAAACATTCTCTTGAGCACCACTTTTCATTTGGAGCACAGTCAAGCCAAGCTGAAGGGGAATACAAAAGAATTACCGTAATCCCGGACTAATTGTAAGATCCAGCGTGAGAATTAGAATCCGGTGATTGCTAAAACTACATAAGAGTGCTAAAAATCTAGAATTTACTCAAGAATCTACCTTAATCTACCTAGAATCCATAGAAGAAGAGAAATATAATCCCTTAAGCTGCTCAAGAATACTGAGTGCTTAATCTAGTGTAACCCAGACTGGATTCAATAAAGCGCTACTTTCCTAAAGCTCACCCGTATCCACCGTATCCACCGGATCCACCGTATCCACCGTAACCATAACTAGGATAATATCCCCATTGCGCATTGGCCACAATGAGCAGATTGATTAGAATTAAAAACATAACAACACAACTCATATTGAGAAAATGCAATATTAGCCGCATTCCATCGCAATGACAAACCTTTTATATCAAATTTTCGCTTTTTTTCCCCCATTTGCCCTCAATAAATAGACGATTTGCTGAATTGTTTAGAATCGGTCAAAAGACTAAAGAAAATGCTTAAAGATCACCTAGCGGCTGTCGACCAAAGCCCGTGTTTGGCAAAGAAATGAAATTAAAAAGCAAATCTCTTGCTATTTTCTCACCTATTTCTTCAAGGTCACTCGGAAATGGAAACTCAGCGACAAAATTTGTTTACTAGTGGGTTTTTGTGGAGATCAACGATTTGAATCTCATCTGATTACATGGTTGTTTGATTTGTGACTCTAAAAAGTCAATTTGAACTAAAAACTTTTGATCTGGCTGGGAAAAGCGTAAAATTTATCGAATTTATCGAATTTTTTGCAGCGAAAGTTAGAAATCGTGGTTTTATTTGTACTTTTTCAGTCTCAAGTGAAACTTTTATGTCCAATTAAAGAAAAGTTTAGCTTTTTAAGCTTTCAAACAACAATGAAAGAGTGCAAGAACAAAAACAAAAAGAAACGAAACATTTTGAATACTCTTTGTTGTCCTTGTCGTTGTCCTTGTCGGAGAATCAGTTGTTGAAGTTGTTGAGGTGCTGAAATGAAGCAAGAAATTTGCTCCAGTTGTATTCGACGTGGTGAATTCGACCTGAAATCATGACTTTAATTGGAGGATTTTATTTTTAATTTACCCGAAATGAGGAAGCATTTCGATTCTGAGAGAATCCAGTGGTCGTTTTGTTTAATCTAAAGTTTTAAAAGTTTTTTAAAAGAATCTCAGAAATCTCTCACATATATCCGACTTGATTATCAAATGAAAGCTTTAATTGTGGCGTCCCAGCTTGGCCATCAAAAAATTGATCAACCAAAATGTTGAAGTAAACACTTTGATTAGCAAAAACTAAAATTTAGTGATTCTCTTTGGCTATAACATTTTTGACACTGGGAATTGCAGGATTCAACTGAAAGCTTTTGGTAAAACTCCAGAGAACCAATGCATTGGTCCTCTGGTGCAATGTAGTACCTATTTTAAAGTTAGCTTTTGAAAATTACCACTAGAATTGAGTGCATACTGCACACAGGGGGGTATTAATCGCGACCGGGTGACCATAAACATTTTTTTACGGCAACCACCTGTTTTTTTTATTTTAATATCGTTGATTTTATTATAAAAAGAATAAAAATCACCCGGCTAGAGTGATTTGATGGGTTTACAAATTTTTTGTAGACGCTGCAAGGCTCGCGTAGTTCATCTACAAGGTAAGTGCGAAAGTAAAGCAAAAGTCAGGCATTATGTTTTCTTTTTGTTTTCTTTAGACTTTCGGTCTTTAGATTTTTATTATTTTATGTTTAGATAATGCAAAAGGTCAACAAATCACCCTAATCTATCTATTAGAGTGTGTTCCGCTCGAGTAATGCGTTTTCTAAAAGGCACCTATTTGAGAAAGCTAAAATGGAAACGACCACAAATGGAAAAAGGATCTAATTGTGTCAATCAAAGCGCTAAAGACGTCCTAAAGACTAAAATTTTTTATGGTCACCCGGCCGCGATTCATACTCCCCCTTTAAAACTTTTGGTAAAACTCCAGAGGACCAATGTAGTACCTATTTTAAAGTTAGATTTTGAGAATTACCACTAGAATTGAGTGCATACTGCAAATTCACATTCATTCCACCATTTCCACTCCCGATCATACTATTCGGATAATCTCGACTCATCACAAAACCATTTCTCGGCACAACATTCATCAGCACTCCATGCTTACCAGAATAATCTACAAGTGAATTTGTACATTACCCGAAAGCCAACCAACCTTTACTGTAATCGGCTGCATCTATTGAAATTGGACAATTTGGAGGAACAGAAATGGTAGCTGAATATGATGGAATGAACGACAAAGAGGAAGCGGGGCCAGTGTTCGCTGAGCTGAAATTTGGGTATTGTCTCAAATGTTCGATGAAGTCAAATAAAGTAGATTTGGAAATCTCGAACTTGAAAGTGTGAATGAGATAGCGATTTGCACCAGCTGCTGCAGGATAACCACCTTGATACACTAAATGCTCACAGCCGGCCTTCACCTGAAGTTCCGAATGAAAAGTTCTGAATCAAAAGCTCCGAATCAAACGTTCCGAATCATAAAACTATCTTCATTCTTTCTTTCTAATGGATACGTTAATTTGTCCACCTTTTTAGAAAATCAAGTTAAAGATAGCCGAATTGTCTACCTGATTGGTTGGTTGGCCTAAGGGAATTGTCTACCTGATTTGTTGGTTGGCCTAAGGGAATTGTCTACCTGATTGGTTGGTTGGCCTAAGGGAATTGTCTACCTGATTTGTTGGCCTAAGGGAATTGTCTACCTGATTTGTTGGCCTAAGGGAAATTGTCGGCGAAGCATAAAGTGATGGCATTGCCGTGAAGATCGCAAATGCACCATAATTACCAGAGCTCTAAAATAAAATTTATTCACTAAAACCCACTAAGAAGTGTAAGAAGTGTAGCTTAGAAATGAATTTTGTCTATCTATTTCCTTATTTTCACAAACCGGATTCGAATATGTGTGCAAGTAGCCATCGTTTGGGACAATCGTGAAAATGCGACTCCCATAAAAAAGAAGCGAAGAAGTTGCTGAGATGTTCATGATTTTCAGCCAGTTTTAGACTTTTTTTTTAAGGTTTTAAAGCGATCACAACTAACTAGAGGTGTGATTCTCGATATTGAAATGTCACTTGACAAGTTTTACGACGAAATCTTTACAATCTGTCCAGTTGACAAGTCGAAAACTGAGACTGTACGAGCTAACGGGCGACTTGTCGACGATCGTGATTGTTCCAAGGAAAGCTTGCATCTTTGTCGAATTCAATGTTTTTGAACTAAATGAGAAATCAATTTTCAAAAATGGAAAAAGTTCACTCAATCGTTGTATTCGACGAATCAGTAATCACAAAATCGGTATCTGTTTGCTTTGTTCCGTTTTCGAATTTCACCATGAATTGAACAGAGTAGTATGCACCACTGAGTATGGTGATTGGCTGAAAGAGAACTGGATTTGCTTGGATTTGTTTGGAACTGGATTTGCTTGGAACTGGATTTGCTTGGAACTGGATTTGCTTGGAACTGGATTTGCTTGGAACTGGCTTTGCTTGGAACTGGATTTGCTTGGAACTGGATTTGCTTGGAGCTGGATTTGCTTGAATGCATCCTTCTAAAAGCACACGTTTTAGAAAACAACCGTAATCCAATTGTGCAAGTATAAAAACCATCAAATAGCATCATTTAATAGAACTAAAGCAAAAAGAACAAGCGAAAAAAGAAATACCGAAAGCAATTTCGTCTGATATCCACTCACAACCCATGTCGAATCGAGTTCAGTTAAGTTAATCGTTTGCGCACCGTACACTAAAATTGAGATTTTGAATTTATAAAGTCAAAACTGACATCCTTTCAAGCAGAAAATACCCATCAATAGTTGAAATTTGAACATTTCCAAAGAATGTTTCCAATAGAAAAGCCTTATTTCAAGTACTGAAAGTGTGCTTTTCAAACTTTCAGTCGACTCAGTTTGTCCACCCACCCAATTTCTATCGTCTTATCAAGCTATTAATCGATTGTCACAAGTACACCAAGTGTCCTTTAAACTCTCAGTCTGAGCCATTCAGTTTGTCCACTCACCCATCCTTATCTTCAAGCATAAAACTCTTTTCAAGATTCCCCTTTTGCTTACAATCTCTTCTAAAATGTCTGTCTGTGGTCATCGAATAAATCATCTGCTTACAAAGAGTCATTGTCGAGTTGAATCATGTGGAAATGGCGAGATTTTCCGAAACAAATTCGATCGCAATCAAATCAAATCGAAATTAACTGTTAGTAGATTTTGTATAGCATTTTATCATCACTCAAAGAACTCTAAAAAGACCAATAAACGGATCATAAACTGATCAAAACACAATCTTTGCAATCATTTCCCAAATTCAATGCTTATTATCAATCATTTATTTGGTTCATAAAAAATAAAAACTTACTAGCGGTACAACAAAATTAACAATAAAATACACTTGCGATTTGATGAGAATTTGAAATATTATTTCCACATCACCGAACTTCGATCAAAAAAGAATTTCTCGAATTCGAACTAAGCAAATAACTACAGTTCTTTGGCCTATATTGGTAATCATTTTCTTGTAAAGTACGCCAGAAATATCGGCGAAACTTTCACTTGTCAAAAAACCATAGAGACTTGTTTTCTGGACTAGATTAAAAAAAGAATTTCTCGAATTCTTCTTCAAAATCCCTCTCATTTCCCAAATCGATTAGAAGTTTTTCAAAAATTTGTAAAAAATTGGATCGGTCTAGCGTTTCCTTGAGTTTTACGAACATTTTTAAGCTCGCTTATCTCTTTCAAAAGTTTTTGCATCAATCCCAATCCTATATTTTCATCGATTCTCTCGAAAACCCAATTAGTATTGCCACGAATTACTTATCAATGGCCTATGCGATGAAAAGTGTCGGGAGATTACGATAAAAGGAGCATTATTTGAAGTCAATTAGGCCTACCTATCTGGCTCTTTCACAAAACCTCTGCCGTTTTCTGTGCAGTCGCGGAAACGCGTGCTTTCTGGCACACGTCTTTTCCCTATACCCTTCTCTTTCCTCCTTGAAATCAGCTTTGCGCAGAGGCGATAACGTGACCAATGAGGCCTAGCCGAGGTGCGTTTATTGCTGGTTGAAAACTGATACCAATTACCCGTCGCTTTCTGCCCTGAAATATGGGTGTTAGCGCAATTTTTGGAAGGCCCTAGGGGCCAAAAATTGAATAAACAATTAAAAGCTATCACTTTTTTAGCAATGATAAAGTAACTTCTTCGATACAACAATGATCCCAAGCCTCTTAGAAAAGACCTTCTTTAAATAAATTCTTGATCCAAATCGAATTTCCCTCTTGTAAAAGACTCATAATATCGTGCTGTATTTACCAGCAATTGACTAGGAAAACTTTTTGGATTTTAAGCTTTCTTCAGACATTCGATTACTGAGAGAAGCGATTTGCTTTTGTTTCGATTCAAAGATTCGACTTCTCACGAACAACTCGGACAAGCCATCGATTTATTCGATCGTTTCCGAGCGTTTCTCCAAATTTCTCTCAGAAAAGCGGCTCAATCAAAGCAAAACACTCTACTGGGACTCATTTTTCCCATTAGAATCCGAAAAACTGGCAAGAACAAATCCAAAAGTGATCCGACTTTGGGTGGATCACAATTTCGGTGCAATGCTCGAGTTTTTGATGTTATAGAAATGTCATAGAAAGGCTCATAGAAAAGACTTTCTTTAAGTGAATTCTTCATCCAAATCGAATTTCCCTCTTATAACAGACTCATAATATCGTGCTGAATTTACCAGCAATCAACTAGGAAAACTTTTTAGGTTTTAAGCTTTCTTCAGACATTCGATTACTGAGAGAAACGATTTGCTTTTGTTTGGAAGTTTTAAAAGGAATCATAGTGACATTGCAGCTGCTTAGACAATGAAGGGAAGAAAACATTCGTTTCGACTTCTTTTTTCTTGAACTTGAAAGTCAAAGTTGATTTTGAATAATGGCGAAAAGATCCAAATATTCCAAAATTGAACAAGTTTATTCACTGATCAACTGACATAATAAATTGTACCCTTTTTCAAAAAAGTGCTCAAATCGAAAAGTGGTTTTGAAAGGTTGCGTCGAAGAAATTTGAATGATTCTGTGATTGTTTGTCGATAGTTTTTCGTGAGTGGACGAATGGAATCCTAAAGAAAAACTGTTTCAAGCATTTATTCCCATTCAACTTTAAGAAAACCAACCAGCACTGCGGATTCGGTCAAAATTTGAACCATTATCGTGTCTCTTGAAGCCATCCACGGTTTGTATGACTGAAAAGTTGCAAATCTTAATTAGAATTTGCAAAATTTGAGTTAAGGCTTTGTTTTTTAGATTTCTTTGCTATTTTACTGAAAAAGTAATGAAAACAAACAAACTTGAGTGTATCCATCATTGCCTAAAGCCGCCCAAACACACGCGTTGAGATCATTGTGATAACGACTCACGATTTTATAGTAGCTTTGACGAAACTGAAGCGCTGGGATATCATTTGATTGAAATTTTTAAATTCAGGAAAACTTCCGACTCTTGCAACTCAACCAGAAGCCTTCAAAACACTAATCTTTACAATAAAACTGTAGAAAAAGTGTTAGCACAAACTGAATAACTTTTAAATTTTAAAATTCACCTAAAAGTTTCGCCTTGTCAATAAAAGATAGATATAATATATAAAATTCAAAGTATCTGTGAACGAATTAGATCTTATTGCCATGTCAAATCTGCCCTATATTTAATCTTTTTGTATCATTGTTTCCTAACTGTACTCTTACTGTACTATCTTTAGTTTTCTCTCTTTTTTCGGTGAGAGTATTGTATCAATATGTTATGAGCAGTTATCATTATCTGATTCGCTTCTATTCGCCCCATGAATAAAGCATATATATATATATATAATTCGCAAAGACAGATAGACTGAAGATAGTCTATCTGTGTTAGCTACAGATAGACTCAAAACCTTTGAGTCTATCTGTTAGTTACACAGATCGACTCAAAATCTTTGATCTTAAATCTCTTAGACACCGCCGCTTGGTCACGGATTTAATAGAATGTTTCAAAATTGTAAACTACAGGCAATCTATCCCTCTTTTTCGAGATTGATTTAAAGTTAATCCCACGTTTAATTCAAGGAGAGGTTCTTTCGTTTTAGAAATTCCAGTCACCTTCAATAAATTTGTGTATAACTCTTTTCCAATAAGAACTGTCAGAATTTGGAATCGACTTCACAGAGTTTTGAGAGAGTCCAATAATCTCGAAACCTTTAAATTATCTGTAGATGATCTTGTTCTTGAAGCTCTAGTGGATTCTTGACGTTATCTGTGAAAGCCATATATTACATACATTATTTCCATTAGATCGTTTTGCTTTTTATCCGTCCTTTTCGTTTTTATGTGTATGAATTCATTTGTATTAATCTTAAATTCTTGCGCACTTTATTTCAGGTCCTAAATAAAGTATCTATATAAAAAGACTTTGATTTGCTTGATGAAGAATACGGGCGACACATTATTCCCATTGTATCGTGTTGCTTTTTATCCGTCCTTTTCGTTTTTATGTTTATGAATTCATTTGTATTAATCTTAAATCTTGCGTACTTTATCTCAGATCATGAATAAAGTATCTATATATATATATAACACAGTGGCTTTATAGCAAATTCTTGTAAACCCACTTTGCGAACATTCTCTTTACTCATTCCAAACGTGTCACGCATTGCGGGAACGAGATGTCGTTGAAAGTATCGATCAACAACACATGAGGCTTGCATTATTGCATTTAATTGATTTCTGACGATACTATTCTAAAATGAAGAGCTTCATTCAAAATCTGATTGACCAACCTCGATCCAATCTCTTGTCCACTCTTCCGTCAATTTGATTTTATTCTTACAGCTCTTCACCCAACCAATATCGTCATGGAAAAACTGCAAAATGATTAACTTTTATCGTTTTTTCTTTGATTACATCGTAAGCCCTTTCTAGCAGATTACTTCCATCAGAAAGGTGTAAATTAGTGCCATTGAAAAGCTCATTCAGTACAATTCCCGGGATTTTTGGATTCTCATTTCGATAATCGTATTGAATAAATGATTTAACATTCAAAAAAATAGCTGAATATAAAATAATTTTTAATAAAAGTGTCATTGGTTGTGTTGTTTTGTGGGGAAAAGGGTTGGCAAACTTTTCAGCTCAATTATTATCGGATCGCGTTGAGCAGCGTTTTTGAAACGAGCAAAGATTGAGGCTTAGTTTTTTAAAAATCAAAACCAAGTGATCTAAAGCACTGTGAAATTTGTTTATTCTTTGAAACTTTTTATACAAAAATCATACTCAATCCATGACAAAGTGGTGTAAAATATAAGAATTATTCTATGAAAACCCTTAAACTATAAAGTATCGACTGTCCTCACTCGATTTCGCATAAACCCATTCATCGAGATCTTTCAGAGCCGAGTAACACGTTAATCCGGTCGGTTTGAGGCAATCTTCGCCCGGATTCTCATGCATTGCTCTGTAAAATTGTTATACCCTATTTTCTCTAATAGTAGTGCACTCGTCGTGCCGAGTTGGTGACGATTTTACGGTTTCCAAGCTTTTGCAGAAGAGCTTTTGCCCAACACTCAAATCCCCCACAAGATCTCATCGTCAGCTACATTTTCCGACCCCACATCGATAGGTTCTGATAAGCGGTTCTCGAGATTTCGAGGAATTTCGAGGACGCTCTGGGTGCACTACTATTAGAGAAAATACGGTAATCATTATTGTTTTAAGGGAATTCCAATGTTTGTAACACAAATTCTTTACCGTCGTGTACAATTCTTGAGAACGAGCATCGTTTCTCGAACTCTGAATGGCGGCTGAGAGTCGCCAAAAATTTGATCCAGAATGAAGCTCATCTCCGGGATTGCTTCATCCTGAAAGCGCTTTATTCAACTCGCAAATCGTCTACGACCGTAAATACTATAACTGAAGGGCATGCTCTTCTATTTTTTCACTTTTCTTCTTCGGACTCCACGAAAAATCACATAAGGGGGACTGGAACATATCAAATTTTAAAAAATCTTTTAAAATCACTTTAGCTCAATTGAAATTGCTCTAGAACAAACGAAAAACATGTTTGGAGATCGGACTCTCAAAAATGATAACCGCCATCCAATTTTTTCTTAAAAAATTTCTTTTAGATCCTTTTAAATATTGCTGCCAACCCTTTTAGGTTATCGAAACGGCTGTCAGCTCCGAGCCAAACTGATATTTTAGTTACTATTGTTATTATTGAATGATTTGTCTATTCTTATGCAAATGTGTCCTCCCCTGTGCTTATCCCTTTTATTGCCGAGAAGGGGCGGTCCTTGGGACTGCCTAGGAGGACAAGGGAGACTCTCATTTTGGAGTCCCCCCTTCCCCTTACACTCATTTCTAATCTATTCATCTTATTGTATTACTGTAAATAAAGATACATATCTTCCGGGTCTATGCAACTGCAGTACAGGTCGGTCATTTCACAGGGACTCCCCTCTAATACGTTGAAGGAGTTGAGTTGGGTTGTCGGGGTGTTAGAGATGGTGGGATATCAAAAGGGATCCACTCTCTTTAACTTAACCCAAATTCTAGTCCACATCCGTTTATGCCTAGGAACGTATAGGCCGTATAGGCGGAACGTATAAGCCGGCCCATCAACGCCATTCTAAGCACTTTTCAACCAAACTCTTTTTCAAAAGTAGTGACTGTTTGGGTCACCAATTTTGTATGGCGAAGGTTCCCCTGGAATTACAGTATTTACGGTATTTCTTTTTTTACCTCAAACATTTGAAAATCGGGATAGATTCGTGGTGTCCCCTCGAGATTTGTCATTTCATTTCGCATGTGAAGATAGATCACTTGCTCTGTGGGAAGCTGGAAATTGTTAAAATTGACAAAAACTTATTATTAGTATCAAATCGACTTTACTAATCCTAGAACTCCTTTTTTAAGAAACCATTTGCGATTTCTTGTTTCCAAAGAAGTTTTTCATCTCGTGAACCCAAGGCAATTTTGCATATTCAGTCTGGTAGATGTACTGAAATCTCATGAAAAATTAATTTAATCCCAACCTTTTTTCAACTCACTTTTTGTGGTCTACTCGACTCAAACGGGTGTCCCTTTTTGACAATGTTTAACTCTCGGAATTTACCATAATCCCAAGGTTCATCCGGGAAACCGAGACCGTGATGATCAAGATTGAGAGCTCCTAGGTCTTTCTATTGAAAGTTGTTGGATCATGAAGCGAAATCTTGATCTTTAAAACACTAACCAAACGTACTAACGACTTGGCCAATCCAAAAATGACTTTAATAACGTATAACAATGCGTTTGAATGACTAACCGACACCCGGGTATTCAGCCGGATTCATTTGTCGTCTCACCACATCAAGAAGAGTTTCACTCCGATTTCTGAAAAGCAGAAAAGGAGACAAATCATTTTCAAGCCTTTCCCTCACCGCACATAAAAAATCTCATCAACGTCGTTCATTGTCGTGTATTTTGTGTCCGACCAAACACCACAAAATGCGGTTGTTAAATGCTCAGCCAAATAGTAAACATGATTATTTGGATTGTATTGTGATGTGAAAGGCATCAAAGGGAAGGGACGGGTCTCAACAAGGCCCTAGAAATTGAAATTTTATGAAATTTGCAAAGTTTTCTCAAAAAAAAACCTTTTGAACATAATAATCGATGATTCTCATTGTCGGCGCTGAAACCGAGTGAACGTGAAGGAGAATTTTGTTGATCTTATTCCTCTTCCACCACTCGAAAAAAACGAAAAGTCTCGGCCAATCGTTGTACCTGATTTCTACCGTAAATACTATAATAGTATCCCACTCCCATAATGACGATGCGAAGTGTTACGTAGTCTAGCTTTGAACGAGTTTTTCTCGACACTGGTTTACGCTACAATGCGCGCTTAGGTATCAAAAAATAGCTCTGAATTTCAGCTATTTTTTGATACCTAAGTGCGCATTGTAGCCTAAACCAGTGTCGAGAAAAACTCGTTCAAAGCTAGACTACGCAACACTCCGCACCGTCATTATGGGGGTGGGGTACTATTACAGTATTTAGTGAAAGCGGTTAGAATTCGCTATTATTTTGAAAGTCAAGGGTTTAATTCAAAAAGTTCGATCAAATAGAATCGTTTATTAAAGTGTTTTGATAATATAAACTCACCAAAATAGCGGTGCAATGATACAAGAATTGATCTGATCTTTATATTCTGTCGGCATCTTGTGCAACTTTACTTTGGCTCTTCGATTTTTTCGAATGATTATAATCTGATTATTGAATGATTGATTTTTGGCTTCTTTACCTCTTCAGGGATGACTCCTCGATAGATGACAGTTGTTAAATCGGTTTCTTGTAGTCGACAACCGTTCCCATTACAAATGCTATCTTTAAAAAATTGTTTTCTAATCGATAATTAGTTTAAACTAGATATCAGAGATGTTTAAAATTTCTCGAAATCTCAAAATCCATTAACTTTATCCGTTTTTGGAAGCCTGACTATCTCCATTGCTTCAATCCAAGCAAGTTTTAGTTGAATCACTGGAGAAATCTCAATCAACACATCCTCTTTCCTCAATTCCTTGCACACCGTGTTCGCCAAAATTCGTATCCTTGGCCCTTCTGGGTCTCTAAAATGGCGGAAAAAGATCGGAAAAAGATCGGAAATTCGATTCAAAGTCAGATATAAAACCTGCGATCATAGAATGCGTACCACACAAAGATCTCCTTTCCGTCCAACGATCCATCCGGCAATTTGTACTGTTCCATGTTCAAAGGCCCAAAATTCTTCTTGTTTTCTGAATGAGTTTATTGGCCAAGCAAAGAGCCTGACTTCTAGTCAAATTGTCCAGATTAACAGCTTACTTTTATTCTCCTTAGATTGATCGACCATCATTTGATCATCGTTCGCTCGATTCTTCATCTTTAAAAACAACAACAGTATAAATATAGCACCCGTGTATAAGAAAAGGGATTTTCTTTGAAGAAGCAGAAAGAAACGGAAACATCCCATTAAAGATATGAATAATATTAGCAATTAGCAATAATATTAGCACTTAATATTAGCAATTTTGTTCGCACAATCGATAGATTTCATTCATTTTTGGAAGGGAAATGGGGGAATTTGTGTACACAGCAGTTTTTCGTTAATTTGAAGAGCTGAAAATCTCTTTCTTTTTAAAAGCAAACACAATTTCCATGTAAATAATGTAAATTTACTAATCTACAAGCTCTTTAAAGTACATTTTACCTCCTAAACCGTAAATATAAATGCAAAAAGCGGATTATTCTCTAATAATTGTTTTTTATCTTTCCTGAACCTGAATTTAGCGGCTAAGTGGACGAAGTGGACGCACCCATCTTCTTTGTAAGCCTACCGTATTCTTGCCAGAAATGTATCAAAATGTATCAGAAACGGTGTGATTCAAATGTTCAGCTATTTTTTGATTCTACTTTTTACAGCCTTGTGTCAAAAAATATTGTTTCAAGTAGATTGAAATGTTTTTCTTTGAAAGTCCCCCAATAATCTTTCAAGTAATACAATTTTTCTGTTATTTCTGTTTTATTTTCTGTTGGACTAATTGCGGTTCCTCTTTTTGCTCTTTAAAAACTCAAATCACCTATTTACAAATTCATTTTGAACAAAGGTTAGTGAAAATGTCTAGCAAGATCTCGGGATATCTATTGGAAGTATCTATTGGAAGTGATTGTGGCAAGACTACACGCTGATGATCTTATGATCGATATTGATGAATGGATGCCTGAAATGGCACAAATGGCAGCAAGATCTCGGGATATCTATTGGAAGTATCTATTGGAAGTGATTGTGGCAAGACTACACGCTGATGATCTTATGATCGATATTGATGAATGGATGCCTGAAATGGCACAAATGGCAGCAAGATCTCGGGATATCTATTGGAAGTATCTATTGGAAGTTCTATTGTGGCTGTGTTTGTTGTATTACCATTTAACAGTAACTCAAATTTCACACAACAAAATTCGAAGATTTCAGCCGCTTTCATTTTTTCAAACTATTTCTGCTTGGCCTCAAATTCTTGTCACAAATGATGAATACCCGGAATTCTTTTCCACGAAGGGAACTCGCTGGGGCTGAATGGAAATCTTTATTTGTATGTTTGTTAATGATTAGAGTAAGTTCTAAGATAAAAGGCTTGAATCTAAGAAACTTGAAAAACTACCGTAATCAGATCGATTGACTTAATCAGCAGATTCTAGTCTTGTTATAGACTAAACTTTCGAACTCATAAATAGAGGCACATTTTTGGCAAATCAAGTTGAGCAATAAAAAGTAAAGATATTTATCAAGTTTTAAATCTTTCAATTAATCGACGAATCATTTCCAAAACGACAGAAAAACGATGAACCCAGCGAGGTTGATGCCTTGAAAGCAGAGTTGAAAGAAGACGTGTCGCCCTGTGCAGTGTTCTTTGAAGAAACGGCAGAACTTTTCTCTAGAAAGATTTATGCTCTCTTATTGTTTAAATTCAACCTGTATCCCTCCATCGCTCTTTCGTGAGCTTCTTTTTTTAACTCCCAATCGTTTTTCTTTCTCGGATTTTGAAGAGCGAACATCACGATGACGACACAAGCGGCCGAGATGATCCCAACACAGACAACGACGTAAATACCTTGGAAGAGAGTTGCATATTAATAATTTATTAGTTTTTAGATACGATTTTACATGTAATTTCAATTGTCTTCGACTTACCCAACAAAGGAAAAACTCTCGTCTTTGGAATAGCCGTCGATAAGAGATCGAGCAAGACGGTCATCGAAACAAGGCTTGTTAAACCGATACTTAACTAATTCTTTTATTGGAAAAAGATTTAAAATCTCTTCAACTTTCGTGAGCTGTTCCTTTCTAATATTTGGCGACCAGAACATTCCGACCACTGAGAGCATTGTCAAAATAAAACACGGCAAAGCGATCACGTAAACGTAGAAATTTGGAACTCTTTTTAGATGAATGATGAAATAAAACTAAAGCAAATAGTCAGGATAGTCAAACTCTTAGATTGTTCTACTCACTACTTGCATCGTGGCGGCAAAGCTGATCGTCGTCGTGGTGATATGGGTGACGTTCCATTCACCGTTGCCCTAAAGTTCACCTTCCAAAGTTTGATTTAAGGTTGTCAAACTGAACTATAAACATTAATAATAGTTTTATTTGTTTGTTCTACATTTAAAATCAACCCCATCAAGTGATAAAGCCGCTGGAGACACCGTACCGTTTGTTAATACATCGTCCCTAAAAGAATCTTTTTGAGTTTCGGTTCGCGAAACTTACGGAGTGTATAAAAAACTAAGAATTGGTATCTGACACGCTTGAACATCAAACGGGAAAGTATCCACCTGAAAGGGTCAAAGTTGGATTGGACTTGAAGCTATTAACCGTAATCGGACAAGCAATCTCAACATAATATACGGTGGGCATTGTCACGATTCCATCGCTTCTGATTGTCACCTGTCGAATCGATGAGTCGTGTATAGTAGTGAGTGTTTTGCTGAAAAGAAAACGAAGCTGATGGATGTTTACAGTAGTCTGTAATCAGACGTTTACAGTAATCTGTAATGAGACGTTTACAGTAATCTGTAATCAGACGTTTACAGTAAGCTGTAATCAGATGTTTACAGTAATCTGAACAATTCATGTCCTAATGAGCAAAGTAAAGCTGATGGATCACCTCTCCTACTGTGTTCTCCGAATTTCTATTGCCCACTTTACCCTTCCAAACTCCAATCCCATTTCACTCTATTCTACTCACGTATTTCCCATATTATTGTCAGGAATCCACAAATACTGATAGTTCACATAGATCTTATTGATGCCACCAAAATCCTCCGGTTTCCAGACAAATCTCTGATCGTACCAAGTCTAAAACTGTCTCTCGTTTTATCTTCAAACTGTTTACCTCGATAAACTCGGCACCAAAGGTGAGTTGTTGAGTGTCAGCATCCTAAATATTTTCATTGACTTCAACTTTTTTTTGTCTCAATTCTACCAAGTAGAACAGTTTGAAGTACCAAAGTTCAAACTGTACTTCGAGTGGTTTTGAGTCATTTGCTGGAATTTGATGTGTTAAATTTTGATTAAATTTCTATTTAACCTGTCCGATAATCTTTCAAAAAGATTGGTGACAAAAATCGATTATAATTTCGTTTATGGAAAAGCTCATCATTAAGATTGGTCATGTTGTTCATGAAAAGTGAGTAGTCTTCTAAATTTCTAGGAAAATTTGTGGCATCGGTAGGCTAAAAGAGTTGTAATCTTGGTCTTCGATTTGGCTATCGGTTGTTTTAAGCCTTAGAAAACATCTAGTTAGGGCTGGGTGTAAAGAAATATTGTTCGCGTGCTTGGTACTCTTCACTTATTTCACGTTATTTCTTGTTCCGAGATATCTGATCTCACTTGAACTAAAAACACTTTATTCAATAGCCGACTGACTCGGAATCTTTGGTCTTCGATTAGGCTATCGATTGTTTTAAACCTTAGAAAACATCTAGTTAGGGCCGGGTACCTCTCTGGCCTAAGCCTGGCTCAGGCCTGAGCCTGGCCTGAGCCTGGCCTGAGCCTGGCCTGAGCCTGGCCTGAGCCTGGCCTGAGCCTGGCCTGAGCCTGGCCTGAGCCTGGCCTGAGCCTGGCCTGAGCCTGGCCTGAGCCTGGCCTGAGCCTGGCCTGAGCCTGGCCTGAGCCGGCCTGAGCCTGGCCTGAGCCTGGCCGAGCTGGCCTGAGCCTGGCCTGAGCCTGGCCTGAGCCTGGCCTGAGCCTGGCCTGAGCCTGGCCTGAGCCTGGCCTGTGCCTGGCCTGAGCCTGGCCTGAGCCTGGCCTGAGCCTGGCCTGAGCCTGGCCTGAGCCTGGCCTGAGCCTGGCCTGAGCCTGGCCTGAGCCTGGCCTGAGCCTGGCCTGAGCCTGGCCTGAGCAATTTTCACACAAGATCGACAATTGAATTAAAAGCGACGATAAAAAAAAACAATTTCGTCCTAATTAGGACACAACTTTCACACGATGAAAGAAAAACAGAAAAAAGTAAAACGCGTCAAATGAACCACAGTTGCCTTATATAGGCTTTAACCCAAGATACTCAGCTAACAAGCTACAAAGCAATAAATGATTTGGGGCGCGAAATAGAATGAAGGCGCAACGATTTCTTCAATATTTCTCCAATTTTTAGGCTACCAGAGTTAGGTAACTTTTTAGTGGCTATTCGCCACAGGGATAATATTCGAAATGGATCAAAATCAAGTTAATGATTAATGCTTTTAATGTAAAGACTAACAGTTCGTGATGACTGTCTAACCCACCTCCAATTCCATACTTGGTGAAATCCAATTGAGCGTTCAGTCGATCAAATGAGTTAACGAAACAAAACAATGAAATAAGCAACATTTCACGGGAACCTAATTGTCTTTCGAATACCATACTTTCTCTAATAGTAGTGCACCCCGGCTAGCCGAGTTGGTGACGATTATACGGTTTCCAAGCTTTTGCAGAAGAGCTTTTGCTCAACACTCAAATCCCCCACTAGATCTCATTGTCAGCTACATTTTCGGACCTCATATCGATAGGTTCTGATAAGCGGTTCTCGAGATTTTGAGTAATTTAGGCGACGCTCAGGGTGCACTACTATTAGAGAAAATACGGTAACAGAAAAGTACAAGGATCAACAAAACAGACAAAAAAAAGGGTAATTCGATATGAGAACGTTTTCTCACTTCTTTCCTCTCGACCTCACAGCAAATCAATCTCCTTATGTCCCTTTTTCGACCACTTGAACCGAATAGGCAAATAAAATTTGGGTGTGAGATTTGAATGGCGAAAAAGCGATGTTATAGAATGAAAATCAAGTAGCGGTACCCACTAGAACAACTAGAAACAATATTTTAGTCTTTCTCAGTAAACTTTTTAAAGATCACAGTTTGGTAGACGTTCAATGAAGCTTTCTTTTCGCTCTAGCCTATCTTTGATATAGTTAAGGTGGATTTAAACTCATTAATTATCTCAAAACAACAGAAACACAACAAATCCGACAAAATTGAGTGTTTAAAAGCCGAGCTTGCTTAGTGGTTTCTTCTGAATTCTTCAAATGGCTGAATGTTTTGATCGAATGCACCAGAAACTGTGCGTTTACGTTTTTAAAGCTCAAATTACATCTCAAAATCAGGAATATCTGTTTATAAAACTTCTCAAATAAAAGCTACATTTGTGCTTTTCCAACAGACTCCCAAAAATCGATCGAATGGCTGAATCGACTCGGCGGTCACGATCAATTCCACACACCGAGCACACAATATTGTTTCTAGTTGTTCTAGTGAGTACCTACTTGATTATCTACTTGATTTTCAACCGCAATCATCACCAAAAATCTGCAAAACCAGATATGCAATCACAAGCAAAAAAAGCTTCTCATTGTGAATGCAAGAAATGCGAACTGAAACTAAGATCTGAACATTTCTATACTTCGCATCCCATTCTTATCGTTATCGCTCAACTTTTCCTTACTTACACAAAGTTTTCCCTGCTGCTTGTTGCCTTAAAAACACATCTTGAACATTTTTCTGGAAGTCTGTGATTTACAGATTGCTCACACCTCAAAACTTGATGAAATTCAGATCGATTATCAAAAATTCTTTAAGATTTAGTGTGAATGACTTAAAAAAGCATTTCATCAGCATCACTTTGTAACTCACACTGCAAACTATAAACTGCAAAGCAAAAGCAAACTCACAGCACGTCCAACTGTAAGGTGTGTTCAACATTTATTCATTATCAGGAAAATACTTGCGACAACGATTTATCGTTGATTTATTGTCATTTATTTGCTTTGAGAAAAATAAAAGAATCGTCTACATTTAAATTTCCGCAAATTTGAGATTCTCCGATTGTGGATATTCAATTTGATATTTGATTGCGAATTCTTTCCTTTCTTGACTCGCAATCTTCATTGTACACATAAATACAAATTACGGTATCCTTAGTCATCATTTTTCTATTAGATTTTCGCGTTTTTGGTTTATAGTATGTTATTGTTTTGTTTTTCTTATTTCTTTTTCTTTCATTTCTTATTCTCTGTGAATAACTTTCGGTTCAAATTACCCAAATTTAAAGTAACTTTATGATTTTCATAAAAAGAGACATAAAAAATCGTTTGCATTTAAATTTCCGCAAATTTGAGATTCTCCGATTGTGGATATTCAATTTGATATTTGATTGCGAATTCTTTGGTTTCTTGACTCGCAATCTTCACTGTCCATTCAAGATTATTCGTGAGTGAATTGATCAAATTTCCCTCTTTCTTTTTATTTCTTTCATCAACGAGAGCCGTTTTTGAGTCAGGCGCAAGGAGTTTGACCTGAAATGGAAATTCTTGAAGACTTATTTGGCCATTAGATAGCATCATTTGTTTGAGAATTTGTTGACAACTCACCACGACTCTTTCATTCGAACTTCTTGGGATTTGCTCGTAAATTGTGATCATCACCGCTTCTTTTCTGTTGTTTTTCACGACATATTTTTGCTTTTTCACTGTCGTGTTCCACTTGCTAATGATTCCAGTCTAAATATAGATTTCAGCGTGTTTCAGTTGAATTTCAAGCCATTTCCCACCTCTCCTTGCCGATTATGCGAAGGCATTAGTTGAACTTTAATCGACGGATCAATGCCAAGAGAAGTTGAGAAATGTTCGCCCGGAGAAACGGATTTCAGTTGGATCTAAAGGATTCTGATTTTGATCTAAAGGATTCTGATTTTGATCTAAAGGATTTTGATTAAAGCCAATCCTTTTAAACCTTGTTGATAAAATTCCCATCAAAGAATATCGCTGCTTCTCCAGGAAGGAAAGCAAGTGAAGAATTATTTGTTGTTGAAGCAGTCAAAAAGACGTTGAAGTTTTTCATTGGAATGCATTCACGGAAAAGATTAGGGACAAGTTGGGCAACACCGATTGTCACCTGAAAAAGAATAGAATATTATCAATGAGTTTGTCACGAGCCTTGTGCTCTCCATTGTTCGATGGAATTGTCACAAGACGAGCAATTGTGAATTCCGATGCCAAAGTCTGTTCTTTGACGGTGGCCGTCTAGAATCAATGAAATTTTTGAAAATCTTATTTAAAGCTCACAATTTGTGCCATTTCAGGCATCCATTCATCATCATCGATCATAGGATCATCAGCATTTGACCTTAATGCGGTCCTTGATCCTTGCGGTTGTATAGATCTCCATTGTGGCCTTGGCGCTGAGTACATCTAAAAAGTACAAGTGAACTAACAAAATTTGAATCTTTAATGAATTTAGAGGGTACTTTCATCAACGAAAACAGGATAAATGCAAATTTCTCTGACATTTTCTAGTCGGGTTAAACATACGGAGTATACCACCAAAGCCGCTAAGTAAAAGTACAAAATTGTACACATAAATACAAATTAAGGTAGACTTAGCCATCATTTTTTGATTAGATTAAGGCGTTTTCGGTTTATAGTATGTTATTGTTTTGTTTTTCTTAATCAATTTGATATTTGATTGCGAATTCTTTGGTTTCTTGACTCGCAATTTTGACGCATGACTTGACTTGACTTCATTGTACACATAAATACAAATTTTTCTTATTCTCTGTGAATCACCTTTGGTTTAAATTACCCAAATTTAAGCTAACTTTGTGATTTTCAAATTTCGATAAATTTTTGTCTAAAACCTATGTCTAAAAGCACTAAATTGTATCTAAAAGTCGCTCAAGAAATACCTCGTACAACAAAAATTGACTTGATTAGGTTTAATCATTCATTCTAGCTTCAATCTATTCAAATGCTTATCAAATCTAGACATATCACGCTAAAATTCAATGAAAAGTACCCGATCAAAGACAATTTGCATACTTGTTGGCAACTAATTTGTTGGCGAGGCAAAAATGTATCTCTCAAACCTCTCTATCATCATAAACTGGTCGCTTCTCTCTAAGCGAAACATCTAGAGTCTTCAATTTGGGCAAAGATCCACCAAATGAGGGAATCGCTGTAGAAAGAACGAGTTCACAATTTGCCCATTCTTCGCCCGATTCCTGAGTGACACGACCAAAATAACTAACCTGAAATTGATCAAATATCAAAAGAAAACAGAAAACCCTAATTAATCTCTATTTACATTCATCTTTGACCCATCTTCACCCATCGAATCAACTCGAATATCGTAAGTTGGCCTCCACTTTGCTTGCTCTACTTGATAACTCAAGAGTAAATCAACTTCGTGAGCTTTTTCAGTTTCCAAAAACACTTTGATGATTCTAAAGTTCATTTGAAAACAAGTAAAAGTCAATTTCTACCGAATTCTTTCCTCCTTGAGCAATTTATTCAAATTTTCTCTCGCCTCTTTAAGCTTCTCTTTACATTCTTCTTCTTCGATGGTTAAAACTTGATCTTGTTCTCTGAAATTATGCTATATTAGTTTGAAAAGAATTGGAAAATACATACTAAAGCTAATCCAGATAAACTCTAGATAAACTAGATAAACTTTTCTTCATTTCAACTCACCCAAACTCGATCCCTTGTTGCCCATAGAACTGCAAAAGTTCTTTGAAACCGTCAAGAGTCGATCGATCAACAACTAGAGTCGATTTCTCTTGTTCCTTCGATGTTGAATTGATTATCTTAAGTTTAGTTTCTTCAGAATTGAATCAAATCATACATTCTGATAAAGAAGATTGAGTCCATTCAATTTCTCCTTGAGTAAATTCCTCTTTGTCATCACCCATCTTTCTTTCCTACCCAATTCAGCAATGGTTTTTCGGAGTTGAGTTTCCTAGATTTAACCTACCGTAAATACTGTAATAGTACCCCACCCCCATAATGACGGTGCGGAGCGTTGCGTAGTCTAGCTTTGGACGCGTTTTTCTCGACACTGGTTTAGGCTACAATGCGCGCTTAGGTATCAAAAAATAGCTGGAATTTAGGGCTATTTCTTGCTACCAAAGACACACTTTTTGAAAGTACGAGCGCTTTAAAAAAAAATGAAATACTAAAAAACTTTTGCGACTACGCGACTGTACGAGGGGGGTGGGGTCCAATTACAGTATTTACGGTATAAAAATTACATTTTCATTTACAGCTTACTTCTTCAGGTCCAACTTTTGCTGAAACACTTTTCCATGTGATCTCAATCTCGTGAATCACAGCCATTCCAGTGCCAGAGATTCGTATTGAATCTTCGAGGATTTTCCCGGAAATATTCTAAAGTGAATTTAGATTCGGTTCAACTTTGGTTGTGAAATGGCTGGATAAAAGTATAGCAATGTTAGCATAAAGCTTTGATTGCTTAGTGCTAGAAGGCTTAGAAAAGAAGGCGATAGTTTACAGGGTGGGCCAAAATTACCGTTATAACTTTTTGGATAAGTATCTAGGAAATGTCTAATTTATTTGAAAAGTGGCAAATGTTATACATTCCGCAACTAGCTCTTAACAATAAATCTTTTCTTTTACAAATTATAAATTAAGAAGAAAGGATTTGGTTCCTAATCTCTCTAAATTTGGTTCCTAATCTCTAAATTTGGTTCCTAATCTCTTAATTTGGTTCCGAATCTTTTAATTTGGTTATTTATCTCTCTAAATTTGCTTCCTAATCTCTAAATTTAGTTCCTGCTTTTAAAAGCTTTCAGCTTTCAAAAACTTACATTAATTGTGATCTCATTGATGCCAGGCTCAATTTTCAGCTGGATTTTTCGTCTAATTTCGGCTCGATCAGGGAATACAGTTACTCGCGAGATTTCCGTGGAACCGAATTCGATTGTTTGGGAAGAGATTGTTCGCATCTTTCTAAAATTTCCTTGGAAAAAAGGCTGAAAAACAAATTCTGGTCAATTGTCAGTGGTGAAAGCTTTCAAAAAACGGAATTTTCTTATCAAATCCCGCTTGCTCATCAATTTTTCTTTTGTGGCTTGTCAAAATGGTGAAAAAACAAGACGGCCAACATGAGTGAATCAACGAGAAAACTTCAAGTGCAGCTCTTCAGAGCTCTACTCGTTCAGGTAAAAATGAAACACAAAAGCAAGCTAATTGTTAAGCTAGACTTTAATGTTTCATTTTTTATTGGAACATTTTCTTGACTACATTGAAGTCAATATAGAACTACTAGCCAACTATATATTCATCTTTTACATGAAGAATGTCTTTGTGATGGCTCGTAGAAAAGACATTTGACTCGAGAAATGATTGTTGATTTCGTTTTTAGAAGAAACAATAAAGCAATGCAAAAGTAAATGTTGTTTGTTCTGTTTTCAAAGAAAACTAAAAACAACAAAATATCCTTGTACAACTCTTTATTTTTACAACTTTATTCAACTCTTTTTTTTTGTTTTCTAAGTTTTAAATAGAAATTTTTCAACTATGGGCATTTTATAAAAAGGTTGAATTTTGGACTTCTTTTCCCATTTAAACCCATTCCTTTTTCCTTGAAGTTCAAATCGATTCGTTCCACTCCTTTTTCCATTTCAAGGTCATCAATTCCTTGTACTTTCAATCAACTTTCGATCGTTCAATCGTAAATGTTTTATTCGTTTTGATAAATTGTGAATTTTATTAACTTATTAAGAATTAAGACATTTTCAACTCGAAAATTTGTTTTCTTGGCTCTTATCTGTTTTCCACTATTGAAATTTTTCCGGACTTTTCGAGAGTTTAAGACATTTTTGTTAACTATAACTTTGCTTACAATTAGAGATAATATTATTGTCAGTGGTTAAAACTTTCAAAAAACGCAATTTTTTTTATCAAATCCCTTTTGCTCATCGATTTTTCTTTCGTGGCTTGTCAAAATGGCGAATCACCAGAAATGTAACTCAAAGAAATCGTTTTCAAAGTCAGAGTAAACATGTCAAACAATATTGTGTCCATAAAATAAATACAATCTAATATGTGAGATTAAAAAACAGAATATTATAGATATTCTGGTCAATTCTCAGTGGTGAAAGCTTTCAAAAAACGAAATTTTCTTATCAAATCCCGCTTGCTCATCAATTTTTCTTTTGTGGCTTGTCAAAATGGTGAATCACTCACCAGAAATTTAAGCGTAACTAAAAAAAAATCATTCTCAAAGTCAGCATAAGCATGTCAAACAATATTGTGTCCATAAAATAAATACAATATAATGTGTGAGATTAAAAAAAGAATATTACAGTTATTTGAAATCTATTCAACCAAGATTTCCCTTTATTAAAGTTTAATATTGTAGCTTTTTAGCATAGCTTTAGAATCGCTTTCAATCATGAGATTCTACACTGCGTAAAATGCTTTTTTTTTCTTTATTTTCTTCTTTTCTTCTTTATTAACTAGTAATTAAAATAGTGTCTTCAATCAAAAATTGTGTCACATTGAAAAGTGGAATTGTTAAACCACGTTGAAGGTATTTGAACGATTCACTGATCGCATTTCGATATTCATCAGAGATATTTCGAACAGAGATAACATCAGAGATATTTCGAACAGAGATAACATCAGAGATATTTCGAACATCAGAGATATTCTGAACTTTTCGAGAGTTTAAAACATTTTTGATAACTATAATTTTTCTTACAATTAGAGATAATATTAAATAATATTGTTAACTTTTCGTATAGAGTTTTAAAGAGAAGAACTTAAGCTTTCAAATGAAACAAAGTTTGATTGAACTATTCATATTCATTTTGATGACAAAAACAATCAAAATCAAGAGACAATGAGCCGATCTCTTTTGGCGAATTTGGTTTTGATTTCGTCATGATCGGTTTAAATCAATTGGCTTCTATTTTATATCATTCCTAAGCAAATATACAAAAATTTAGCAATAACAGTAGATAAATTTTAAATGAAATCAATCTGCTAAACACGAAAAACGTCTTAAATTCTTCAAAATTTCAGAAAAATTTCAAAATTCCGGGAAAATGGATAAGAGCCGTTTTCTTTTACCGTTTTGTTTCCTATTCAATGTCATTTTTGATTCCAAGAAGTTCTTATAGACCAGCTATAGCTATGTAATAAAGATTTTCTTGATTTTCCAGTTAAATGGAGTCAACAGCACCACCTATTAATGAACTACCATCACCACCACCAAGCTACGAGGTGGCCACAAATTCTCGGCCACGCACTCCTCAACAACCACAATTCCCCTACAACCCACAACTATCAAATGGAGCCCAATGTGAAGAACAGATCGTCCTTCCCATTCTCCCCACACATGACAAAGTTTGTTAAAGCTTTTTATTGAAAGAATAAGCTCAAAGTCTTGACTAATATGATACTTTTTCTGGTAAGTTTTTTGTTCCTTATCATGAATCAAAAATTTCCAGAGTTGTCCGATCACCAAAATTCCTCCACATCTCTATTATCATAATGATGATACGGTGCTCCCTGTCATGTGTCCACCACCGGGCATTCAACCATCCACCCAATCACCTCTTCCTCCATTGCAGACGAAACCAGAGGTAAACTTATAAAGAGCTATTTTACAGTCAAATCAAAAATTGCATACGATATTTATTCTAATAGAAGCGCATGCGCTTTTATTTTTCAATTATTCCACAAAATTGCTTCTAGTCGAGGCTGCGCTTCTATTAGGTTGATGCATAAGTGTTTTTGTTCCTTTTCGTCTGCCGTTTCAAGCCAACAAATGCACCAATTAAACTACGGTTGATTTCATTAGAAAAACCAATTATTTTTCTGCAAAATAACATTAAAACGGGTTTAAAAATATTTAATGCCTGGATTTTCTTGAGAGTATGAAGTCGGGTAGTCAAAAAGGGCTAACTCGATGATGCGGTTTAGACACCTTAGCTAAAGAAAACCTATCTTCGTGTCAATAGATAAAAGATAGAGAAAAAAAACGTTTGATATTTCGCCAAGATTTCAGAGAAATTCATTCAGCCAATTTTTCCGTAGAGTTTTTTATAGATTTTTACGAAAAAGGCGTTTTTCACTCCCGAATTTGCTTGAAAGTGAACCGAAATTCATTTAAAAAGATGCAAATTGAACAAAAAAAACACTTTTTTTATAGAGCAAACTATAGATTAATTGGTGAATTTGTTACTTTTTAACAGAAGTACGAAAAAAACGAAAAGACTTATGCATCAACCTAATAGCTTTATATATCCTTAAAGGTTCAAAACTCAGGATATTCAGTCTACTAAGCTGAATATCCCTAGTTATTGCTTTTATTGGAAACTGCGCTTCTATTAGAATCACGGTACATTGTTTTTCTTTGTCTACATACCAAAGCAGAAAATAAATTACAAATTAACTTACTAATTTACTTTAATTTACTAGATACCATCATCATACCAAACTTACTAACAATGTTTTTCAGAGAAGATCGAAATGGCCATGGTACGCGTGTGTGACAATCGTTTTGCTCATCATCATAATTCTGTTCATCAGTCATAATCATCATAATCAAAAACGATAAAAATTTTTATTGTATGTCATTAACTGAAGATTATCAAAGTCAAAGAACACTTGAGAAAGCTTTTGTACTCGAAAAAGAGTCGAAAGATCACACGCAATTTATCCTTGTCGTTTTGTGATCAGAAATTTTCTTTCCATAAATCCTTGTATTTCAAAAAATTTCAGTAAATATACAAGTTGTGGAAAAATTTCTTGTAGATGGACACTTTTAAAAGCGAAAGTCACAGTTATACTATATTAGATCATTGTTATTTGAAATTTTGTAGAAACGCTTTCATTTTCTTTGGACTACATTAGCTAGCTCAAGATGAGCAAGTCATAACATAGTCAATATCAGATGTAAAAAGTTATTTTCCCATGTAGCTACGAAAACCCACCGGTTTGAATGATTCGACGTTCTTTTTTGTCTCGGAAATGTTGATCACTGAAGAAAAAGGTCGGCTTATTTGTTAATTTAAATTTAAAATTGAAACTTAACTTTTTAAGTTCATAAGTTTTTTACTTGTCAAGTCTACTCTCAAATCTGTATCTAGAAGATTATCTGATCTTGATGAACGAGACAACGACGAAATCAACCGATATTCAGAACGTTGTTGAGATTTGTCACAGTGTCACAGTGTCACAGAGTTCACAGTTTAAACAGTGAACTGTGAAGCGGTTGAGTTTGGCAGTATGTTACGATAAAAAACTTAACTTTGACTCCGCGTTCGTCTTTGGACGGAGAATAACAAAAAAGATAAAAAAAGATTCAAAAAGTGGCTTTTTCTTGTTTTCTGTTGTTTGGTTACGGTAGAAAGTGCACACTATAGTGTGTCAACTTAAAAAAATCAGTTATGTCTGTTCAAAACGCTACTAGTTTGTGTAGACTTGATCAATCTCAATAATTTTTGCACAAAAACATTCCTGGGATATATGCAAACAAAACTTATTGCTTTGTTTTGACTTTTTCTTTTCATACTAGCAATTTCTTTGATAAAGTTCATAGTGCTCTCTAAGCTATTAATAGCTTTATTTACACAAATATATATAAAATTTATTTACATAAACGTTGTCGCTATGCAACACTTATTCATCGAAAAAAATATAATTGTCAAAACACTCCTGAAGATCGTGGTGCAATTCTTTAGACACTTGCAAAAATTATTATTTTCGTTCGTTTCAATATTTACTGGTACTAATTTTTTTAGATGCCAAGAGCGTATTTGTATTTTCACAGATATGCTTTGGCAACAAATTCCAAATACAAGAGACTGTATTTATATAGTAGATATATGCTTTAGCGGGGGGAATAAAAGCGAGCCAAATAATCATTGACGCACACAACATATTGCAATAATGGAAAAACTCAAAATAGGAAATACAGATTCAAAAAGATCTAAATATAGAGCAGATTTGAGAGAATAATTCATTGAGACGGCATGTAGAAGGCCAAAAATTGCAATCCAAACTTGTGAAACACGTAGATGCAACTCGTCGTTGAGTCGATTCGGCGGCGGAAACACGAACTATTTTTGTCGAACGGAAAAACCAGTGGAACTTCGTTTCCCCTGAGAAGCTCGTTTGCACGAGAAACGAGTGCTGAGTGATTTTCGCCGTCATCGACTCGTTGAAGTCCTTGAACCGGTGAAAGAAAATCGGTGCCCCGGTGAAAGAAAACCGCTTTTGCGTTACAATGTGAATCACAGCTTCAGAATTCTTACTTAGAATTCCTTGATTGACAATCCAGTCGACCATTCGATCAAATTCCCATTGCCAAATCCCGATTGAAAGCATTTTGATTTGCGTTTTCATCATGGCCTCATGGAAGCAACGAGGCAGAGCACTCTGCATCGAATAAGGCAAAATAATTTTCTCGCATTCATTCAATTGATTTTCGATGAATTTGCCGAGTTGCTCTTTCATTACTTGATCTTGTTCAAATGAGCCGATGTTGATGCCTAGTGTTGCGTTCTTTTTGACCGATCCACAAAAATTGGTGAGGAACTTCAGACAATCTTCCTTCGTGTCAATCTCGAACACGAGTTGGTTAACGGATTTCAACTGGCCTAAGAACATTCCATCGGTCCAGTCGGCATCGAAATGGACGTTTAACTCGTCGCATGAATCGATTCGTTTGGCGAAAGGAAGACGAGTTGCATTCAGTTGAAAGGACGGAGAATTCACGAACTTCTTCATCCAATTCTTTAGTTCGGAGTCCTGTCCCAGGGCAACCACAGCGACGTGCTTTCCGAAAACGATCGATTGATCCATTGCATAGGTCGAGTAGAGCCCCCTGTTCACCATCACCAATCTCAGCACGTCTTTCACATCGAGATGGCGTGCGATCTTCTCAACCAGCTCCAACGGCAAATCACCGATCGTTGCAACCGACATTCCCGTATCTGAAAATAAAAAGGCATTATTGGAATTGACATTTGTATGATTTACTGAAGTCACTTTTGTCACCAAAACCACTTTTTGAGGTTAATCTAGCGCAGTAATAATTTTTCATTGTAAAAATCGTATCAAGCAGTTCAATAAATCATTTTTGATATGAAAAATGACTCCAATAAACCATAAAACCAACGAGAAATGTATAAAAAACTAATTAGAAGCGATCAAACGTAGATAAAGCTAAATTTTACCCAAAAAACCTTCACAGCTTAAACTTTCCAGATTAAAAAGCAAAGATACCCTTTAAAGCATACAAATATTTAGATTTGCGTTTTAGTTAAAAGGAATTAGTTAAGTTGAGTTTATAAGACATGTGGGAACGGATTCAAAACAATGGGGTGGAAGAAGCCAAAAAGAAAACGAAATAAAACTCTATTAGAATTTTAAACAACAAACGCTGGGCAAACAATATAAAAAGAAGGGAACGAACCAGGGGAGAAAGTACTTTAAAAACGCGCGACAAAAACATAATAGTTTCTACGAAGGGGAAGAAAACTTAGCGGGATTCGGCGTAAAAACCGGACAAAGTTTCCGGATCATGGAGTTGAGGAAAATGAAAAGAATGGCAAAAGGGGGATTTTGTGCGGGATACTGTAGCGCATCCACGCTTCAGAAAGCGCCGCGTCGGTTTCACACCAGTCCCTTAAAACCGCACGTCAAAATTTGCACAAAGGTTGTCGCTATAAAACACTTATTCATCGTGAAAAGAATATATAATTGTCAAAACACTCCTGAAGATCGTGATGCAAAAGTCTTTGTCTTATAATTTTGTGCGGGATACTGATTCGTTCGTTTCATATTTACTTATTTAATTTTTTAGATGCCAGGAGCGGATTTGACAACTCCGGATAAAGAAATGATCACCGAGGCAAGAGATCAAGGAATGCCACGACAAGACGTTGCTCACCTCGGTTGACGTGAAACGGTTGTACGCCCACAACCGTTTCACTTATTATGGAAAAAACGAATGCGTCTGGAAATGTGCACAGATGTGGGAAAAGGGATGACCGAGGATTTAAGTGTTATCGGGAATTTATGGGCCTATTTGAAATCGAAGTTGCGAGGAAAACGATTCAATTCTAAAGTCGTGCTATGGTTTTACATCAGAAAATCTGGAGAACGATTGGACCAGGAATACTTGATGAGTTAATTACATCGATGCTTACTCGTATTGAAGAAGTACTTTTGTCAAAAGGAAGGCCGACAAAATATTGATTATAGCTTAATTTCGTCTTGTGCTAAAAGACTTTTGCACCACGATCTTCAGAAATGTTTTGACAATTATATTTTTTCTCGATTAGTAAGTATTGTATAGCGATAGCGTTTGTGTAAATAAAAATATCAATAGCTTACCAAAGAGAATCGATGAAACTTTTTAGAAAATTGAGTGTTAAAAGACTTTTGCATATGACTGTAAGAAAGTAATGAAATAAATTAGTGATTTGAGCATTCTTTTTGTTTAATGAAGTTCAACGTTGCAGCTTTTATACTCAATTATTTTGGGATCAAGAGAGGAAAGATCAACGGGAACTCTTTAAATTCTCCAAATGACAAATTGAGTGAATCAACGGATATTACTCATTGTCAGTCATATTTTCTGCAAATACCCAATTTATCCCAAGTTTCCAACCTTTGACCAAGTGTACAGTCATCGAGTACATCGAGAATTCAAAAATCGGACCTAGTTCACTTTCTATGCTGAATTTTATCTTATCAATTGGATAATGCAAAAATTGATTTATTGTCAATAGATAATTTTAAAATACAAAATTTGAGTTCGTTAGTAGCTGCTCTTTGGCCGTTTAGCGATCCATTCTTTGATTGCAGGCAGAGCCTCGACTCGGTCTCGATGGGCAATCACCTAAATACAAAACAAGCTATGAAATTAACCCAAATATCTATTTTCTAGTAAAATCACCTCTGGATACTTGTCAAAAGCTCCCGGGATGAGCTGTTGATAGGTGGTGATGTGGCCGGCGAGATGCAAGTCAACCCATGAGACTTTTGAGCCAACCTGTAAGGGTTTAGTTGTTGTGAAAAAGCATTTCAGTCTAAAATAGAGTTGCACTAACCAGAAATCCGCTCTTGCTCTTCTTCAGGTATTTCTCGATGACAAGTGGAAAGTACTTGTCTCTGGCTGGTTCAAAGAGCTCTTTGGTGGCGGCTGCCTGAATGGAATGTTTAATGATTCCAAATCAGACCCAAGTTCCAAATTCACTATTGAAAAGCTACCTTATCTCCAGGCACTCGTCCGACAAGCACCCCAAAGAAGTGCTTTTGCTCAGTCATATAGTCATTCAACAAATCGACGAGAGCATCGATTTGAGCCTCCTCAAGATCGTTGGCACCAGCAAAACCTGAGAAATCAATTGATTATGAATTTTGTCATTTCTAACCGAATCGCTTAGCCAAAAAACGAGCGATTGCCATTGATTGGGGAATGGGTTTTCCATCGACTTCCAACAAAGGAAGCTGGCCGAATGGGGTTGCTGAAAAAATTCTTGATCTAATGCAGTAATTCTGATTTTTTAATTGACTATTGTGTTTTTAATGTTTGGCATGTTTAATTTGAACTTAGAATGCGCTTTTAAATGTTTTCGATACTCACTTGGCTTCAATGTTGGCCAATCTTCGGGCTTGATCCGTTTATCAACATAGGGGACACCGGCCAAAGCAAAGAGTTGACGATGGATCTAAAATCATAGGCAATGACAACAAATTTTTGATTTTAAAGTCAATAGATAAAACTTTAGAATATTTATTTACTTCAGCTCGTCCTCTCAAGTCAAAATACGTGAGCTTGTAGTTGGGCATTCTCTAGAAAGTTTTCGGAATAGCAAAGGTGTGGAATTGATAAGAATTTCGCGAAAATCAAGCCTTTTTAAGCGTCGAGCATTCCTTTCGTTTGAAAGATTAACAAGCTATAATCTTTCGATTTCTTGGGGTTTTTCTAGTCTTTCTGATAGCTTGGAGTTGATGACTTGGAGTTTGTTTCAAATCACAAGAAAAATCATTGAATTGAATTGAAAATAGGCAAGTGTACTATGAAACTATAAAGTGACTAGATTTTTTCGTTGAAACGCTTGATTAAGTTTGAATTGTCAAGAGTTTTCTAAGCTAATTCTCGTTTCTGGTTTATCTAAAATGCAACCACATAAAATTTTAATGAATTCTGCAATCGACTCAAATGAACAGGAGAAAATTGTTGAAATGATGACTCAAATCGAGAAAATTTGCGTGAAATTTACGTTGCGCTTCGAGAAATTGTATCTCAATGTGAAAATGACTTTTCTGATAAAAGTTTTGTCTCGACTTTTCATTGGAACTTTCACAAAGCTTGAGTTGATGTTTAGTAAAGAGGAAATCACCGAGAATGTCAAACATTTTCTGACAGTTTTTCAAAAACTTGAGTGCTTATTTGGGAGACACCGGCTGACTGTTTTATTGATTCGATTTCAAAAATTCCTCGATCAATCGAAATGGTTCATTTAAAAGCTGAAAAAATGAGCCCTCTTCGTCCTGAATTTTTGTCAAATTGTGAAACAAACTTTAGCAAAAGATGCTACTTTCTTCATTTGACTTTTCAATGCAAGATATTACAAAAATGTGAGTCCACAAGCGAAGAAGAAAAACTCAATACATTTCTGAGCTCGAGGGGATTAAAGACATAGAAGAGATTTCAAATAAATTTCAATTTCAACGCATAGAATTTGAAATTTTTGGGAGACTTTTTAAAGCCTTTGGTGGAATCATAAATCTCCAAATGACGATCCTAAATAAACAATTTCAATTACAAATTTTCTATAAACTCACGCGAAAAATGATTGTGAAGTGAAGGGGTAAACCTCAAGGAGTAAATAGTAGAAAATGGGGAGACCTTGTTGGAAAAAATATTGCAGAGAATAGTGAACAATGAGATAAGTGACAGTGATGAAATGAGTGGTGACAAGCTGGGAAGGTTTTGAATGAGATTTGCAATGAAAACGTACCATTATTGATAAGCGGACATCAGCTCGACGACTGGTTGGCGATCGTTTTGTCTGAATTTTGACTTTAAGAGACTTTAAAGTACGATTTTAGCAATTCAGCTGAATCAATTCTTCTTTTTGAACCAAATAACAGTTTTGTTCAATTATCTGAATCGTTTTTGATACATATCTTTTCAATTTCAATTTCTTTACCCGATTTTTGGTTTGAAGTTCTCTTAAAACGTGTTAATTTGTGAGAAATACCGTAATCTCGTTTAGTTTTTTAACTCTATTTTTTTATTCAATACTTGTTGAGAGTTTTCCTAATCAAAAAGAGATAAATTGAATAAATTAATGACTGGATTATGGTAGCTTTCAACGTGCTTTAAACAAATTAAGGAAATAATCGTTCAGTTTTACAAAGTAGAACTCACTATTTGTCGAACTTTCCACAATGTTACCAAATCGAGAGCAAAAGTTGCCCCGAATAAACCGTACATGACATTATCGAGATAGCTGAGAAACCATTGGGCCAAATCGTTCCATGAATACAAACAAGTTGTGCAATAATGCAATGGACTGAAATACCAGCAACCAAAGCAAACAAAACCCGTTTCCTCGTTGACAACTAGAAGTACTTTTCTTTGACAATACTTTTCGGATGATTTCACTAACCGTCACCGATTTGATAACAATAAATGACAACAGGGATGATCCATAAAAAGAGTGAATGAGGGAGAGCTATTCTTTCCATTTTAGAGTAGAATCGGCCATCAAAGAAAACGGCAAAGATTCTGAATTTAAGGTTGCATAGACCAATAGTTTGAGTTGTGTTTCACAAGTCAGAATTGTAAAGCCAGAAAAGCCAAAGCCAAAACTTCAGTTTTCAGCCAGTTTAGTAATCTATTTCTATTTATTCGTAATTCAATTCCCTAACCGATTCGTGCAAAGCCCATTTGCAATCATTTGCATTGAATAGATCATAGCCAAATAAAAAGAAGTGACGATTTTGTTGATCATCAATCCAGATAACGGAGAACCATAGGGGTTCACGCACTCCCAACTAGAAGAATGAATACCGTAAATGAATACCGTAAAAACTGCAATAATAGCCCTCTAATAGTAGCCTCTCTCCTCTAATAATATCCCCCCAAGTTTGCATCTGCCTTTGGCTGAATATTTTGCACCTCTCTTTGGATATTCAGCGAAATATTGTGTCAAATGGTTCAATAGTGAGATAACAAGCAAATATTGGAGAGATCGCTCAAAGGTGTTAGGTTTTTCAGGAACTGATCGTACATTGATGATTTGAGATCGTTTAGCCTCTCATCAAAGTGAATCGACGAGGGAAAAGCTCAATCAGCTTCAATTGGATTGTTTCTTTGTTCCTGGAGGCACTACAAAGTTTGTTTAATGTGCAGATGTGGCTTGGAATCCTTTTAAGGCTCTGGTTTGACAGTTTTACAAGGATTAGCTTTTGCTGCAACGCACAAAAGGTGGGAACCCAAAGGCTCCTGGAACATCTACTTAAAATGGGTTGCTGATGCTTGGGATTCAATTTCGGAAGAAGTCATTCGTCGAACCCTCAAAAGCTGTGGTGTTGGAATCGATCCAAGTGGTGCCAAGTGGTGCTGATTCACTGTTTTGAACCCGATGACCCGCTTCCTACAGGACTACAGTCACTCAGGGATGCACGTGGCGAAAAAGAAGTCGATGTGCTTCTGGTTCCTCTTACTTCAGCAAATCTTCTCGCTTTTCATCAAGAAATCAAAAGATGTGAGGAAGAATTTGAATCTGATATATTAGTTGTTCTAGATTTTTAAATTTCTTCTTTTTTTTTCCTAATTTTTGTTGAATTTTACTTGTTTTTGTAGATAAAATAATTGAAAACTGTTTCTTTAATGAGTGATAATCTAATATTTTCCGATTTTGGTTATGTGAATGGCAAAAAGTACTATCGAAAAAATAGTGCCCTTAGGGCTACTATTACAGCTTTTACGGTCGTTGGATATAAAGAATTCTTACGTCAAAAGACAATAACATTTGTAGAAGAAACATATTGAATCAATGCCTCTACTCAAGCAATCGAATAATAAATAGAATCGAACAGGCCAGGAAATATTCGGATTTCTGACGATAACCCGAGCACAATGGATATTCAGAACTATTCCAAACAAAGCAAGCTGTAAAAGAACCAAAATTGGTTTACTATTTGGATATCAGGCTCAGGCCCAATGCTTACCATAATTTGCGATCCAGCCACCCAATCATTGACACCGTCTTTCACAGAAGATCTAACCGGAAGCCCATCCCATGTATAAGCAACTCCATAATTTCGATAAAATGCAAAACCACTATAGTCTTGACACTGTGTTAATGACCAATCATCTGCTGAGTTGTTCGTATGGAAAACTGAAGCAGTTGTGGTGAAAAGATCATCATAGAAAGGAGTGGAGTTGGCCATTTTCTAGAAGAAAATCTTCTAGTACAGTTTTGGTTTTGGATAAATGTGGAAAAGCCGAGAAGGGATTGGCAAAAAAGGAACAATTTCCAATAATTACATAGTGTTTTAGTCTTTTTAAGCGAAACACAAATAAATCATTACAAGGAAAGTGCTCGAAAAACAGTACAGAAAGATTGAAGATTATTGTTTTAAAGGAAATTTAAATCTTTGTAGTTCTTGGTTCAAAAATAGAATCAGAATTTGTTTGGTGGTAATATTTTGCTTAATTTAGAGCAATCAAGCAAGTTGAATGAGACTCTCCCGTTCTCGTTCTTGTTTCTTGTTTCTAAGACTTTCTAAAACATTCTTGTTTCCAAAACTGATCCAGAAATTCGAATAGTTGTTGTGAATTTTGGCTTTTTAAAATTGAGTTGAAATAAATTTTCTAATCTTTTTAACAATAGAATTAGAATTATTCTTTTTTGATTATATAGCCGTCGTAGCCAACCGGATAGGAGTCTTCTCTCCTAGTCGGGGGGTTAAGGGTTCGATCCCGGCGGCTAGAAAGATTAGTTCTCTTTCCCATTATTATAGGTTTTATTATGGGTTTTTTTTTTCTTAGCAACATTTAGGCAATAGGGGTAATTAGGGGTAAAAATCTCCTCCGTTGCGCTGTAATTCATTATTCGTGTCGAATAAATCTACATTTATTATTCTTTTTTTAGCAATCTTTTTCTGAGCCCAATTTAGCACTAAGAAGATACTTTTTATCTAGATCAATTATCCAATAAATCCTATTTTGTTGGCTCACTCACTGAATCTCATCTTGATCGAACTCTTCGACACTTAAGGGATCTTGTTTTTTTCTTTGATCTTGTTGGCATGAATCATTTCTCTCTAAAAATCTCATTTTATTGCCAAAATCTTCAAATAGAGTCTTTTAAATAAACTTTTTGTTTTTGATTTTTGTTTTAAATTGGTTTAAATTGCACAACAGTCTTTATTTTTATTTTCTTTTCGATTTGTACTCGCTTTTTGATGAGCTTTTCTCAAATCATTTGAACAAACAAGCAAAATGATCTTTAAAAAGTCATATTCACCAAGTTCTCTATTGCTCCTAGATACAGACTGAGCAAAATGATGAGCAACATGGAGGATTACATTGTAAACGAGGTTTATCTTGTTGAGGAGTTCTGTAGCATCACTTTTAAATAAAAAGTTTATTTTCAGCAGCTACATGAACCCTTTTGACAAAGGTGTCCAATACCTTTTATAGCGTTTTTTGCGAGTCCTGGCGGCGATATTGAGCCCAATCCCTTTGATGTGGTTTTACACGCCCAATATGTTGCACAAGTGAAACCGCAATCCTCGCGCTTTTTGCGTTGAGCATCAGCAGGATGAGCCTACAAAAGTTGTAGTGAAAAATTTTAGTCAAACAAGTTACCAATGATCCTAGATAAAGACTCAGCAAAATGATGAGCAACAAGAAGGATTCGATTCTTTGGTTCATTCGAAATAATACAAAACTCTGTGCATTTCTTTCAAAGTCATAGATCTCTTTTATACGAAAATTTTGACTCACACCTTTTTGGTCTAATGATACCGGATTTTATTTGTGGTGAAAGGCGTCATAAGAATCTCCTCGCCGTTCACTTTGCGCTCTTTCTTGCGAATGCGAAATGCGAAATAGAAATCGGCAATGCAAACAAATAGCGACTGTCTCAAATAAGCCACGTCTTAATTGATTTTTAAACTCTGTCTCCTAATTTAGATTTCAAAAAAAGCAATTAGAAAATGGCTGAACCATTTGAGAATTGCTTGAGTAACATTCTTTGTGCAAAAGGAGTCAAGGATTTGCTTAAAAGTTACTAACTTTGGATGTCTGAATGCCATTTTTGCTACTTTGTTTCTTCAATTCAAAAGAAACCCAAAGTAAACGAAACACTTCAACTTCTGGTACAACTTCAATCAGGTCAATTGGAACATAAAACAGCCATTTTATCAAAATAATAATGCCCATTTTTTGTTTATTTACTCTCACAAAGAGCTTGACAGTCGTCTATTTTGGCGAAATTATTTTTATTCCCTTTGCAGCCGCCATATTTGAACGATTCGCACTTCTTTGTCTCGGAATTGTAAAAGAAACGAGATAGGAGAGCTCTGGAAAGATTTTGAGGGGTATAAAGGTTTAAATTTAGCACCTGCATGATCCGACTTCTCGTGGCAATGCACAATCAGCAGCGGTTTTCTGGAATTTGTTTCTAGTTTTCAATAGTGAATGAGATTTTCAAAAGTGCCGTGGTCTACAGGTTTGTGAAAAGTTCTGCCCATTCAAAGACCAGTTTTATGATGTTTTATGAAGTTTCCAAGACTCAAAACCTGCAAAATTAGATTTTTCAAGTATTCTTACTTTAGGAAATTGTTTTATATCTTCTATTTTACTTATATAGAAAGTTTTATAGAACTTTTTATGACAAGTTTTGAGGTACAGGCAAAATAGCTTCCCCAAAACACTTTTAAATGACTTATTTAGTTGTCCTAAGGATTTTTTAGCATTATTTACATCTGGTCATAGTTCCGTAGGAAATTTTGACTTTTACAATCCGGGTTTTTTATGAAAAGAGGTGACCAAAATTACATGAGACCTCAAAACTACACAAGTCGATCTGAAGAGGGACCTTAAATGGGGACGAGAATGTTCAAATGTTCAAATGCAAATTCAAAACCGTAATAAATGATAACTAACTTTTTTTATAGCTAAAAAGCTACTAAAAGCTTTTGAAAATACCAAATTCTAATTTGCTACGAAGCTAGGAAAGCTATTTTGGCCTTCGACCCGAGGATACCCCAAATGTTGCCAGAAAAAGTTCTATAAAACCTTCTATATAAGTAAAATAGAAGATATAAAACAATTTTCTAGCATAAAAATACTTGAAAAATCTGATTTTTTAGGTTTTGAGTCATGGAAACTTCATAAAACATGATAAAAGTGGTCTTTGAGTGGACAGAACTTTTCACAAAGCCTGTATTTTTTGAAAAAGCTTTGTAAGCAAGTAAATTGTACTTAAAAAGCCGTAAAAGTCATGCAAAGGGATGTTTTTAGCTTTAAAGCTTTTTAAAGTTTAAAGTTTATTCGAATTAAAGTCCACCTTAACACAGGCATCTTCACATTCGGTCGGCCTCTTGAAATTGTTCCCATTTCCATCACATCCTCCATAAGAGAATGTTTCACATTGACCGCTTGTTGGATTGTAATAGTAACGAGAAAAGAGGGCTCTGGAATTTGGAAATTTTCAGAGAAAAGATTAAATAGATATTAAAATAGATGTAAAACACTTAAAAAAAGACTAAAATTGCAGTAGTTTATAAAAGGTTTGACATTTTAGAAAATAGTATTTAATTAATTAAAAGTATTTAATTTTTATGACTAACCTGCATGATCCAACCACTGGTGGAAGCGAACAAATATCCTCTCTTTTCATTCTCTTTGCAAAAGTGATGACTGCAAAAAGCGACACGCACAACAGGAAACGCATTTTGATTGATTTGATTCTCTAAAAGTTTTTGCAAAAATGATTAAGTCAAACTTTAGTCTAGCACAAAATATGAAAAGAATGGATAGATTGTTGAGATTCAGGTTCAGATTGAGTTTTCCGATGGAACGATTATCAAATCAAGCGATAGGTTGTTGTTGTCAAAAGGGTTTCTTTTCAAATCCTTTCTGCTAAATAACCATTTAAATCCTCTCCATTTCCTGATTGTCAAGGTCATCTCAGGCTTTTTCAAATCCCTTCTGTTTACAATCCCTTGGCTTTTTTTCAAATCAAGCGATGTTTGAGCTGTTATCATCAAAAGCACTTTACTTTTCAGAAACCATGAAAGAATTGGACAAGCTCGAGTGTCATCCAGAGGATTAAAATTGGAATTGAGATTGAAAAAGTAGAGTATTTGGGTCTAAGAAGCGTCAAGATAAGAATAATATTCAGATTGAGTTTTCCGATGGGACGATTATCAAATCAAGCGATAAATTGTTGTTGTCATAAGGGTTTCTTTTTAAATCCTTTCCGCTAAATCATCATTTAAATCCTCTCCATTTCCTGATTGTCAAGGCCATCTCAGGGTTTTTCAAATCCCTTCTGTTTACAATCTCTTGGCTTTTTTCTTGACTCAATTTTCTGCACATTTGACAAAATTGGGTTTCATTCACACAAAGTCAAGGTCTTTGATAGTTTTTTTTGCCTATCCACGCCCTTGTGTTCGTGCAAAGCTATGATTTCTGAAAAGTAAAGTGTTTTTGATGAAAACACCTCAAATATCGCTTGATTTGAAATTTGAAATTTTTGAGAAAGCTCAAGTTCTGGAGTTCAAAACTTTTTGTAAATAGATTTTTTCAATACTTACAATCATGTGCAAAAGTCTTTTCACATTCAATTTTCTAAAAAGTTTCATCAATTTTCTTTGATAAAGTTCATGGCGCTCTTTAAGCCATTAATAGTTTTAGTTACACAAATATATGTACAATTTATTTACACGAACGTTATCGGTATACAACACTTATTCATTGAGAAAAAAGTATAATTGTCAAAACGCCCCTGAAAATCGCGGTGCAAAAGTCTTTTCACACAAAACGAAATTAAGCTTTAATCAATATTTAGTCGCCCTCCTTTTGCCAAAAGTACTTCTTAATACGAGAGGCATCGATGCAATTAATTCATCAAGAATTCCAGGTCCAATCGTCCTAAAAATTTTTCTGATGTAAAACCATAGCTCGACTTTACAATTGAATCGTTTTCCTCGCAATTTTGATTTCAAATAAGCCCATAAACTCTCAATAACATTTAAATCCGGTGAGAATGGTGGAGCCTTGATCAAGGAAACATGATTGATCCCAAACCATCCCGGTAAATGTGCTTTTCCTCCATTCGAAAGAGTCACAACGCGGCCCATCAAAAGTTTGCTTTTGTGTACTGGCGAATTATCTTGATAAAGAAGCCATCCTGGATTCATCGAAGCAGTCGCAAATGGAAGTAGACATCTGTCCAATATCTCAATATATTGGCGGGAATCCATTGTTGACTTTACGAGGACCAGCGGACCTGTTGAACTTTTACACATCGCACCTAAAGAAATCGTTTTGAGCTGTATAAAAAAAATTATCCTTACCGAAACACATAATTGATCCTCCGCCTGTTTTCACCGTGGGTTACAAGTACTTGAGTTGATATCGCTTTCCAATTGGACGTCGAATCAGATGATTTCAATTTGAAGGAAAAATATCAACTTTTGTTTCATCAACAAAAATCATTCGGGTCCAATCATCGATTGTCCAATTTGAATAGGTTCGAGCAAATTGAAGGTGTTGCCTCCTGTGTTTGGCTGTCATCATAGGCTTGAAAGCAGGTCTTCTAGTATACAATGCTGCTTGAAGCAAGCGTCGATGCAAGGTCCAGCGGGAAATATTCTTGTTTGAAGTTTGCTTGAAAAGAATGACTCCATCGTTCAACGTCAAATTCGGATCCTTTTTGAAAGCTCCCGTAAGGAATCGGTCTTCATTCTTTGTTGTAATTCTGGACCGTCCCTTTTTCCTACATCTGTGCACATTTCCAGACGCATTCATTTTTGCCATAACAAGAGAAACTGTTCTGGGCGTACATCCTAAGAAGTGAGCAACGTCTTGTCGTGGCATTCCTTCCTTCCTTGCCTCGACGATCCTTTCTTTATCCGGAGTTGACAAGTACGCTCCTGGCATCTCAAAACAAATAAAATAGTACCAGTAAATACAAAGCGAACGAAAATAATAAATATTTTTGCAAATGTGAAAAGACTTTTGCACCGCGATTTTCAGGGGTGTTTTGACAATTATACTTTTTTCTCAATGAATAAGTGTTGTATACCGATAACGTTCGTGTAAATAAATTGTACATATATTTGTGTAACTAAAACTATTAATGGCTTAAAGAGCGCCATGAACTTTATCAAAGAAAATTGATGAAACTTTTTAGAAAATTGAATGTGAAAAGACTTTTGCACATGAACGTGCATTGAATTGCAATTTTTTAAAGGTAACAACAGAAATAAATTCATTCATTCTAAGCGAAAATCAGTCTAGAACTTGGTGCGCTTCTTCTCGGGTCAACTTTCTTGCAAATATACCGAGTGAAAAGAGTTCCGTCAGCCCAATCATCCCAATAATCGACATCACTACCACAACGATCATCGTTGATTATCTAAAAAGCCTTGAAGTGTCAAAAAATTGAGAAAATTTCAATCAAAACTGTTTCACTCTTTAAAAGTTTAAGCTTATTTGTAGTTGTAAGGTTAATTAATTCAAAAAGTTTGCTAAAAATATCATAAGGAAATTCAAACTCAATCAGAAATTACATTTGCCAGTGAGAATTGCTTAAAAAAGCAAATTAAACCTTTAACTGGATGAATTTATGTTCGCTTGTTTCTTTTCACCTTACCGCATATCCAAGATTGCATTGTCCTCTCGTTAAATCATAATCGAAAGGCGTTTTATCGAACCAAGCCGGTTCATCAGGCCAAACACATGTCAATCCGATCAATGCTTGATCACGTTGACAATAAAGATCCGGTTGATTCTTGGAGTTTGTGGCAATGTTGCCTGAATAAATTGTTTACAATTGTTTACAATTATTATCCTCTAAAACTACTTTCATTTAATCACCTTTCAAAAAGTTGAATTCCTCATCGCTGTGAACGGAAGCGAGCATAGCACCTCTCGATCGACACGCTTTTTGTGCTTCGCTTTGGTTAAATGACTGCTTTTTGAGTTGAAGTTGAGCATTCTAGAAAATATTTGATAAATCAAGTGAAATAACAAGTAAATTTACATGAAAATAGTAACAAAAGCCAGCACGTGCCACCCAACCGTCTGCCGATGAACAAGCTGAAAAGGAGAGATTTTTGACGGATAAATTAGTCTTTCCTTCTTCTTCTTTTTTGTGTCGACTCCTAGTTTGATAAGAAATACGTAAGCCTTATTTATAAAAGGTTTTTCTGGTACAAAAAGCATGCTTTTACGAATAAAGAAGTAAAAAGGCTGCTTAAAAACAAGAAAACGGGTTTTTTCGTATTCAGTTATTCAATTGAAATCAAAGAATTAATATTTGATTAACTAAATCTTTAAAAAGATGATTAAATCAAGTTTATATTAAATTGAATGAATTATTTATTTGAATTGAGTCAATCTTGAAATTTAAGAGTCAGATTTATATATTTATGGGCTAACTGAATACCTCAAAACATAAAACAATTATTATAAAAGGTTATGATTAAATTTTAGTTAAACAATATGGAAAGGAATCTGACAATGAGCCTTTAAAGATTAACTTGTCTTATCTCTTTTCAAAATAACTCACGGTTCATTGTGGTAGTCGTTGTAGTTGTCGTGGTCGTAGTTGTTGTGGTTGTTGTCATCGTAGTTGTTGTTGTTGTTGTTGTCGTTGTCGTTGTCGTTGTAGTCGTCGTCTTTGTCGTTGTCGTGGTTGAAGTTGTCGTCTCAGGAATCGAACAGATAAATGTATAACTCTCATCACATCCAACCGATGTCCATTGATAGTTCTTCGCACAACTTTGCACGGCACACGTTGCATTCGAGAGTGGATGTCCTAAAACGGCTTTTAAAGTAATTTGAGTAAAAGCATTTTACCTGGAGCCCAATTCTGATATTGTAGCGGAGTTCCGTCATCGTAAATCCAAACGTTGTTGGGCGTGTTGATCACTCCGATAAACGATTGACTGTTGGTGCCAATTGCTGTAATAGAAATCATTCATTTTAATATTCATTCACTGAAGAATGGCTATTTTCGAGTCTTACCCATTTCGGCTTCAGTTCCCGTCATGACATTCTCAAAAATGTCACGGATTTTGATGAGTTGACCATTGAGATTTTGGCAAATTTGACGGGCAATTGTGTAATTTCCGTCTAAACTTGAGATAAAGATTGATTTCAAGGAAAATTTTCTTGCATTTCTTGACTAACTTGAATTAACTGGATAAATGCACTCCTGTCGATCGCCATAATCGATTGATCCTTGTGGACATGTGTCCGCCAAAGCATGCACAGAAAGCAATAGGAACAAGACGGCTGAAAGCATTCTTACTCAGTCTACACACTATCATTTCCTTGAAGCTTTTAAAAGCCATTCCTTTGTCATTTTGTGTCGATGGGGGCGGTCGAAAATTTGCGATAAACGAACAAAGTAGAAAGATTTCTAGACAAATGATCGCGATCTGTCAGCCTTTTTCTTCAGATTTCTCTTTTCAGAAGCTTTCCGCTGAGATGAGATCAAATGACTCACGAAAACGTTGGTTATTCTTTGTATTGGGTGCGGTGAAAGTGATAAACATTTGAGTCATTTGTAATGTCATTCACAGTAGTAGAAAGGTACCTCAGCTGATCGGATCAAAGCAGATACATTAGTCAATTTCCGGAACATATTCAGACTAGCTTAGGTCTTTCACTCTTCATTTCATTATCAAAAAGAACGAGTCTCAAGAATACTAAACAATTTCTTTCATTTTAAATGTTTATCATTTATTTTTTGTCATTTTAAAACAATTTTTAGTATTTTAGAATAATCGGCGAGAACAAAAGCTGGTGTTTTTTAAAATATTGAACACAAAGAAGACTGCTAAATGGATTATTCTGAAATTTTGATTGTAGACCTAACTTTTTATCTGCTAGCTTTTTTATTTTGTCATCAAAATAGGTTTCATTAAAAGAAACGGTCGAAAGCGCATCATCGGACCTTGTCGTTCTTGAACACTCGGCTTATTGCTAATAAAAAACCTTCAAAACAATGCTTTTCGGAAATTTTCAAAAGTAATTTGCAAGAGAAATGATTGGATTATCTAATGAAAAAAATTGTATTTCATTTGGTAGCTTGAGACTTATTCAATTAGAAAATGAATTTGTGTGAAAGGCTTAGGACTCAACCTAATAGATTTTGAGCTAGACCAAACATTAGACTTTACTTACCAATAGCTTTTCTCAAAAGCCCTTCTGATCAGCTTGATCTCTTGATACCAGATACGAAAGCTCTACCAGATCAAGCAATGGACTCGTGCATCGTGCATGCATCTTGCTGCATAGCATTTTTTGTTCGGATAGGGTTGTTAAAGTCATTAGAAATGCCATGGTTCTTCTATTCTATGTAAAATTACGCGTAGATTTTATGATTTATTGTTGTTTTTCAGCTTAGGTTAATATATTGTCTTATTAGATTGGAAAGAAAGTTGTCGGAAAAAGTTTGACTCGAATTTCCTAAAAAAGAATTCACCAATTCCAGAACATTTTCTTCTATTATTTACAAGTCGACTCAAAGAAATTCCTCATAAAAAAAAATAAGTGCCACTCCAAAGCAATGAAACGAACTGATATCCATAGACAACTACAAGCAAATTTGTTTAAAGCTTTTATATTTTGTTTTTAAGAAATATTTTTTGTCAAATATACTTTCCATAGCTTGGCTAATAAGAAATTTCAGAAACATTGACGCAACGGAAGAGATCTGAATGAGAAATTCGAAGCTGAGATGTCAAGTGAAGAATCGGAAATGGTAAAGCCTAAAAAGTATTTTTCAAATAATGCATTTTCTAAAAAATATAAACTTTCAAAAACCTACCGTAGTCTTCCACTGATTTGGTCTAGTTCTGCAAAAGTTAACAAAGAGAATTGATTGAAACGGCATGATTACGGTAGTTTTTAAAAGACGACACGTTTTAGGTAATGTAAATTTGAAGAAAACCTAATTTAGGGGCTTTTTTGAAACAAAAAACATTTGATTAGCTCGTCAACAGTAATTCTCCGTGTCTGAATGTTGTGACGCTGAGAGAAGAAATGAACATCATTCCGATCTATTCTATTCTTATCATCAACGGTTTGTGATTTTGTTTCAATCACTTGAGTTCGATTTATAGTTGAGTTCCAAATTTCACACATAAAAGTCTTTTTTGGATCAGATCGAGCCAGGCTTCTTCCCCTTTTAACATCATTAGATTGAATTTTCAAAAACTTTCTCCTTTTAGTTGCGCTTTTTGCTATGCTATGCTATGCTACCGTATTTTCTCTAATAGTAGTGAACCCTAAGCTTTGCCTAAATTCCTCGAAATCTCGAAAAGCGCTTATCAGAACCTATCGATGTGGGGTCGGAAAATGTAGCTGACGATGAGATCTAGTGGGGGATTTGAGTGTTGAGCTTCTGGGAAAACTTAGAAACTGTAAAATAGTCATCAACTCGGCTCGGCTATTAGAGAGAAAAAGAATAGAGCAAGCAGCTTTGGCAGATTACGGTAACATCTGTGAGGTGATACCTCTTTCTCAGGTATTTAATTTCTAGATTGCAATAGTTTTAGCTGAATCCATTGATCGCCGAATCCCGTATTCTCTCTAATAGGAGCGCACTCTGAGCGTCGCCTAAATTCCTCGAAATCTCGCAAACCGCTTATCAGAACCTATCGATGTGGGGTCAAAAAATGTAGCTGACGATGAGATCTAGTGGGGGATTTGAGTGTTGAGCTTCTACAAAAGCTTGGAAACCGTAAAATCATCACCAACTCGGCTCGCCGGGGTGGACTACTATTAGAGAAAATATTGTATCTAAATTCTCTTTGAAAATTCAAAGAATTGCCCAAAACAAGCGATAAATTCAACAAAATATCAATTGGTTAACAAGGAAAATGTGTAAAAGAGAAGAAAATAATGTCTTTTGATTCAATTTGATTAACTTTACGACGATAAATTTAGCCTTAGAAATCGTTGCACACAAAATCCCATCAACCACATCCAAAAAAACAACAATTTCTTCAGAAAACACCAGATTTTTATCGTCAAATTTGTTTGCATCAATTCAGAACACATTTACCCATATCAAGCAGTTAAATTCAACAACTAACTAGTTATTTATAGTTAAAAACCATAAAATCCTCAGTACAACACACCTGTAAAACATTATTCAACAAATTGTTTCAATTTTTTTTAAGTTTCGTCCAATTTTATGCAATAAATATTGAAAAAATTCTTTGATTTAGTCGTTAAAAGAAAAAGAGTCGAGAAAAACTGAAATTTATATTGCGTCTTCAAAAATTATACTTCTTTGTACATCCAAAAACAAGATTTATTTAAGAAAAACATTTCAAAAACTAATATAATTATTATAATCTCTTTTTGCTCTTCAACCATTGCTTAAATTCAAATTCGGGATGAGTGTCTTCAACGGAATAACTAAAAAAGGAAGTAAGAAATGAAAGTTTTCCACCCACTCTCCACTGTACGGTCTCTGATGCGATCCTGCGCTTGTATAACTGGTGAATGGACCAGCACAACCCTGTAAAGTAAAAAACTATCAAATGTTCAAAAAAGATATACACTACTGGACAATGAAATATGATATTTGAAAAACGATCGTCACTTTCGCGCGTCTGTAACTCTCTTGTCTTTACCGTGTTTCTAAATATTAATATTACCATTGTGTAGCCCTTGAAAAGAGCTTTCAGAAAATGTATAACACTAATAGTTTAAACTCAAAGACAAGGGAGTTACAGACGCGCGAAAGTGACGATCGTTTTTCAAATATCATATTTCATTGTCCAGTACTGAGGATTTAAATGATGATTTAGCCGAAAGGATTTGAAAAGAAACCCTTTTGACAAAAACAACCTATCGCTTGGTTTGATAATCTTGATTGAAGCCAGTTTTACAGTCCTATCAAAAAAAAACTATCAAAGACCTTGACTTTGTGTGAATGAAACCCAATTTTGTCAAATGTGCAGAAAATTGAGTCAAGAAAAAAGCCAAGAGATTGTAAACAGAAGGGATTTGAAAAACCCTGAGATGGCCTTGACAATCAGGAAATGGAAAGGATTTAAATGATGATTTAGCCGAAAGGATTTGAAAAGAAACCCTTTTGACAACAACAACCTATCGCTTGGTTTGATAATCTTGATTGAAGCCAGTTTTACAGTCTTTATCAATCCCAAATTCACCTCGAAAATCTCGGGACTCCAATCGTGCACCGAGTACATCAACGCCTCGATAATCGTCCCATCGGAAAGCTCAATCTAAATATTATTCTTATCTTAACTCTTCTTAGACTCAAATACTCTACTTTTTCAATCTCACGTCGATAATCCTCTGGATGACACTCGAGCTTGTCCAATGCTTTCAACCGATCATCATCCACTGCATAAACTTCTCCATGGATTCGCTAAAATGAAAAAAAAGATTATGGATTTCTTAAGGATAAAGTCTTGAATAATTCAAGATTTCAAATTTTTGAATGGTTTTTAAACTAACATCTCCATTTCCTGGATCATAAACGATCATCGGCACGTTGAAAGACGAGGCGATGATTAGCGGATACTTCGTGACGGTGAGACCTTTATCTACAAGAATTAAAGTTAAAGATTTCTATTAATTTGATAGTTTTCATAATTTACCTATAAATGCATGTTTTCCTGCAGTCTCTGACATCACAAAATAATTAGGTTCTCCGGTTTTGAGAGTCCCGTAAACGAAGACTTTATGTGGAAGGTGCATCTTTTGAAAGGATTGAGTAAATCAACTAAACGGTTATAATTTTAGCTTGAAAATTCTGAATAAGACTAAATGGCCAAAATCTGAATCAATCAAAGCGCAAAAAGAACAAAATCATTTCGAAAATGGAAACGTTTTATTGCCTTCTGTGCACTGATTTTCGTTATCGCATTTTACTCGTTCTTTTTCTTCCCTTTCCTTTCCTTTTTTGATAATTCATTGTCAAAACCCTTTTAATTCGATGATCTGACAAGCGAAATGTTTTATATATTTCACGTAAAGTTAATGATGAGCTTTGGAAACATTTTGATGTTAGATTAAAATTAAAAAATGTATAGCTTCTCAAGAAAAAAATAAATTGCTGCGAATGCTAACAAAACAAAAAAGCTTGTAAAATGTTAGATTTGGCAAATTTTAACCCAATCAGACTCTTCATTCTTTCAACTTTAAAAAGTTTTGTCTTGATTCCAAATTTTCACAAATACTCAAAATAGTCAATCACTTCCCTCTTTGAGATTCACCATTTACCTAGCCCATTTTCAGCTAAATCGATCTGAAATTGTAAACCAATTGCCTGAAATATTGAAAGATGATGCTGTGAGTCATTCTTCTAGCTCTAAAAACTTGCTGTAAGTTGGGGAATTTCAAAACCCAAATGAATGCGTTTTAGCGACTACGGCAACGGATTTTGATCCCTGGGAATCGAGGCTTTTTGAACAATCTGACCGAATCTGTCAAGTACTTTTTCCTTACTGGTTCATCCAACTTTAGACAACATTTCCAGGATCTACTCAGACCGATCCCTAGAGATCAAGTGTGGAATTGTTATCGTTATTGGGGATGAGCTGATAGAAGATGTCTGACTAAGCCGGTTAAAGCTTTATGCTGTAAAATGAAGGGTTGCTCCGAAGAAAAAGACGAGAAATAAACAATAAACAATGTGTAAAAGGCTTTATTCATCTTAAGAAATTCTATCAATAAAAGCTAAGCGAGTGGGAAGAGATCACAACGATTTGTAGCCAAATAAGCCTCAGAATGTTTGAATAAAGTTAGAAAATCGAAGGTATTCAATTTAAATTTGAATTCAAGAACAATTTGATTAGTTTCATGGTTGATCAATAATATTCTCTCGATTGCATCTCAAAAGTACGAAAAGTTGATTGGTGTCAAGAACGGAGGCCATCACAAACAGTTCACCACGGCGACCGAGAAGGGTTTTTCTGGAAAAATTGACAGAATTGGCTTTGATTTAAGTTCAACTATGTATTCAAATCTAGTTTTAAATCTAGATTTAAATCTAGATTTTTCATTAAACTTCTTTAGGATAAAAATAGAATCATCTACCTTATTCCGGTCGTAAATTTGGCCAAAAAAAAAGATTAAAAGAAATGCAATCACTTATTTTGATCGAGTTTGGACTTTTTCATATCCTTATTTGCATTGAATGCTTTTTAGAGTTGAGATATACTTGAAAAAGAAGATTTCTACCTGAAACAAGCCTTTGATTCCAACCGTCGCACCGCTTTCCCCAGCAAAAGGCGATTCTTCACAGTCCCCTCGAAGAACTTCAGCAACAACTCTAAATCTTTTCTTCTTTAGAAAAGTTTATTCTCATTACCCATAGCCTCAATCGAGTGCTCGTGAAATGCATTCATTTCATGTTTTTCCGACAAAAAATTCTGCACCGCTGCAAACCCAGAATTCCACCTTGACGGCCCCTCTTTCAGGCAAAAAGCCACTCCAATTCTGTCGGAAATCCCAAATTTCAACAGTGGTTCGATGGATGCCGTGAAATGATCCCATTTCTCGCAATATTCCACCAACAATTCCATATTCTCATTCGACAATTGAGTCAAATATGGCCTAATCGGAATGTTTAACTGAATCGATTTACAACTTTGAAATTTCTCGTTTAGATTTTTCTCCAAAATTTGCTCCTCTTCATCACGCAGAGTGTTTTTTACCAAAATCAACCGAAAAGTGTCTTCAGTTTTCGAATTCAGACGAGCCGCAATTCGCTCGAAAATCGAGAAGTTGTTAATGTTTAGAGAATATTTACGTAAATATTTTGGATTCGGGAGAAAATCGACGAAATTCGAGTATTTCATGGCTTTTTTCTGAGAAACCGGAATCGATCCCATCGGCAACGTGACTTGAATCGTTTCAATAATTCGAATTTTCTGAAACATTTTCTCATAGCTTGCATCGATCTTATACGAGTTCAAGCTTTGCATCGAGCTAAATGTTACGATAGTCCCAGAGAAAGCGGTGAGTTCCAATTTGATTGTTGGCACAAGGATCTCATTCTCTTCATTCATTTCATTTTTTAAATATTCATTAGCCGAGCTCACATTGATCTCTTTGATCTTTCCGCTGAGCGCTCCACGATACAGCACATATCCTCTCAAATTTGAGTTAACTTGTAGAAATTTCAAAGAATCTCGAATCTCCACTGATTCAAGAATGGAGTTTTTCAGAAGATCAGGTAAACTGTTAAAATAAAACATGGAAAAAATTGAAGAAGAAGTTGAGGCTTAAGAGATCGATTAAATGGGCACTATTGAAGAGCAATTTGAGGGATTAGATTGAGAAAAAGAAAGGAAAAGTGCAAATGTGATCCCGTTTTTTTTTCTTTCTTTTCTCTTGTCTTGAGAATGAGTCTGAGCACATGGCGTGAAAATGACAGCCACTCTTTCCTCCATCTTTTTCCTTTTCTTTATCTCTTTTTAAATGTCTTGTGGCCCAAATGCTCATCTCATCGTCAAACGTGAAAAGTGCAATAAAATCATATGCATTTGTACCGCTTACGTTCTCCCAGATGCGAGAGTGTGATCCGGGGATGGCGCATCACGTGGTTTCTCAGAGCACCTGCGATGGGCCAATTAAAAAAACACGTGGTGTGACGCAGCTCACTTCCCGGCTGCGGATCACGGGCCGCACGGGCATCAGATGAATTTTCACGTCTTTTTCATTCAATTGCCCTCTATTTTCCTGAAATTTTCGCCAAATTAGATTCCTTCTCAAAACTGATATATCCTTGAATTAAGAAAATGAAGAAGGATGAAGAAAAAAGATGAAAATGTTTTAGAAAACGATTCTATTAGTGTTATACATTTTCTGAAAGCTCTTTTCAAGGGCTACACAATGGTAATATTAATATTTAGAAACACGGTAAAGACAAGAGAGTTACAGACGCGCGAAAGTGACGATCGTTTTTCAAATATCATATTTCATTGTCCAGTAGTGTATATCTTTTTTGAACATTTGATAGTTTTTTACTTTACAGGGTTGTGCTGGTCCATTCACCAATTATACAAGCGCAGGATCGCATCAGAGACCGTACAGTGCAGAGTGGGTGGAAAACTTTCATTTCTTACTTTCTTTTTTAGTTATTCCGTTGCCGACACTCATCCCAAATTTGAATTTAAGCGATGGTTGAAGAGCAAAAAGAGATTATAAATAATTATATTAGTTTTTGAAATGATTTTCTTAAATAAAGCTGTTTTTGGATGTGCAAAGAAGTATAATTTTTGAAGACACAATATAATTTTCAGTTTTTCTCGAATCTTTTTCTTTTAATGACTAAATAAAAGCATTTTTTTCAATATTTATTGCATAAAATTGATCGAAACATAAAAAACATTGAAATAATTAGTTGAATAATGTTGTACAGGTGTGTTGTAAAGAAAATTTTATGGTTTTTAACTAGTTAGTTGGCGGATTTAACTGCTTGATATGGGTAAATGTGTTCTGAATTGATGCAAACAAATTTGACGATAAAAATCTGGTGTTTTCTGTAAACTAATAAGTGAGTCTGGATACGGTGATACCCTCCCCCCTCCCACTACGAGTACGTTCCTGGGTAAAAATGCGATAACGACAAATCAAAAATCTGAATCCTGTGAAGTGTGGTATGCACTCCAGCTAAGAAATTCGCAAAAAATACAAAAATTCTGAGCACTCACAAAAGAGGAATAGGCGCCCAAAAGATTTGAGGGTCTGCGCGCTAAATTATGAGCAAACTACCGTAAACCAAAGGGTCACATGGCTACAAAATCATTGGACTTTTCTCGACGATCACTTATCTTGCATCGGCGTCTCAGTCACGTTTTTGCCGAATTACTCAATCGCTGATATTTTCTGTGCTTCATTTGGTTAGTTTGTGTTTCTTTTAATAAACAGCTTTACAGAATTGCAATCTTGCACACAATTGTTAGAAAACCCTTTTATTACTGATTTTACACAACCATTGCTGAACTATTTGACAGTAGAAGTATTAGCAGAGACTTGCATTATAGTGTGCCGATTCTTAAACACGTTCATACGAGAAATAAAAATTATTCTTCTAATCCACTCAACGATCACTTGGCGATAGGTTTTCGAGACAAAAATTGTAATAAGACTAGCGAATGATGCGTGAAAACTTGTAAGAAATGTAGCCATTCCGGAAACTAAAAGATTTAGTTCTTTGATTGGGCTGAATATTGTTTGATCCAACCGATATCAATAAAGCCGACAATAAGATCATTTTCGAAAATATCCACCATCGATAGAACAACGCATCCGTATGGGAAAGTCAAGCATGCAATGATGACAGTGCCCTAAAAATTTGGTCGAGTGAATTTGATTTAATTGTTACTTGCAAAATAGTCATGCGGGTTAGGTAATGCTGAATTTTTTTTGTCCGTTGACTCATCGTTTTTTTCGATGGCTTGAAGAATGTTTGATACAGACTGTAAATGGCTATGCCAATCGCTCCGAGGAACAAGAGTAGAGAGATTACAGCCATCGCTCTCAATATAGCTTGATAAGAATCTAATTGGGCAAAGTGATAGGCATTGTGGAGATCGAATTTGTCACACGAAGAATTGATAAAGACTGAGCAGATCTGAAAAATTGGTGTTCAAAACTTTATTGAGGTGGGCTGCTGAAGTGGCCAAGTCACGGCTCGGTCTATCTGGGTTAGGAATCGGCCCAACAGACCTATGATTTTTTGCAAGGCTAACAAGAAAACCTCTTGAACAAAAATATTATATCATTTAAACTCCTTTACTTTTTTTCCATTTTTATGTAATTCAATAAAAAATTCACTTGTGAGTCACGAAAAATCAAGCACGAGAATTGTGATACACCAAGAGTTTTTAAAAAAACAAAAACCAGTAAGCAAGGGAATTGAAAGCACCCGGAAATTTTTGCGGACAAGCGCACTATCCACTAGACTAAGAGCTCACTTGTTGGGACGGCTTAAAGACAGCAAAATAACTAATAACAATGTGCCAGAAACTCGAGAAAAGCGGTCAAAATTCATTAAATTTGACCTTGTATGTTTCCGTTTTAAAGCCCCAAAAGCAAGTTTGGACACCAGATTCGGATAGCTAATTTTTTTTTCCAATCGAATGGTATTTACCTAAATCATTTTCTGACTCGAGGGTAAGTTCAAGAGGTTCTCTTGTAAGAACTGATCAAACCGGAACAAAACCCAGAAAGGCTCTTCGAAGCCGTGAGGCTGTCTTTGTTAGCATGAACTCAAATTTGAAAAATCTCGATTCTCCACCAAAAGCTTGGGCTTGTAAGCCAGCTAGAATAGTCAAGTCAGGCCAGTTCAGGTCTAAGGCCGCGTTCAGACTGGCCCGACCGACACAGGGACTTTTGTGAGGTGCAGGTCCCGAGTAAAGTGAGATCAAAGGTCAAAAAACTAGGCCAGGTCTTGTCTTGCCTGACTTGGACTGACCTGCCAGTCTAGGCCAGCTCAGGCTTATGAACCTATCCCCGGCTCGGCCCCAAAGTCTGCCTCAGCAACAGCTTGACTAAAGGCTGCTGTAGCCGCCTCTCCCTACTTAATCCACTAGTTTTTCCCCAAAACCAAATCTCCCACCACTTTCCGATCATCACTTAATCCACCAGTTCGCAAAATGTTAAGCATAAAAGTGGCTCCGAGCACAAAAACAGCTCCATAACCACCGAGAAAGTAAACATTCAGCAACCATGCGACATATGATGGAAGGGAATAAAGAGTGATAATCTTGTAGAGAGAGCCATTCATAAAGCAACCATAACTCAAAAATATCGCTATCCCATATCCACCCTCAAAGCCTTGGTATAGTTTATTTGAACGAAGACTCACTAAAGCTATCATAATCCCTACAAATGGAAGATCCCAGCTCATTTGAAAAATCACAATTCGTATTTGCATTAGAAAGATCGGACGGATAAGTGAAATCATGATGTCGCCGATGAAGGCGGATACCTGTAAGGGCAATATTTTTTGCTTCTATGACTTCCTGATGATCTGGGCCAGTTGGATCAGGACCAGGACTGACACAACTGTTTCAGGATCTGGCCGAACTAAGAGTAAACCAGAGTCTAATTGAATTGAGCAAAAATTCGATCCAACAACCAGGCTCAAACCAGCTAAGCCAGCTGGTTGATTGGGCCAAGCAGGCCTCAATCCAGCACCAAGATCCAATCCATCCGGGTTCAACTGAGCCAGTAACTTGCTCACTCAACTAACCAGTTGAAAGACGATAACTTTCTTGTAATATTTTGAGGCCAACGATTTTTGATAGAGAACAAAATAGATAGCCAAAAGGAATAGCAGTGTTGACGGGATGAAAACAATCGTATAACATATTGAGAGCAGGGATCTCAACTGGGGACTCGGGAAAAACATTTCGAGTTCTTGATTTGAAGTAGAAGGTTTTGCGGCACAATTTGAGCGGTACAGTGCCAAGAACAGCAGGTGTTTTCAGGAAACTCGATGGATACGCAAAGAAAATATTAATTCCCTAGTGATCAGTTGGTTATTCTTAGTTCATTGATGGAATTATGAAAAAGTAAAGCACACAGCTCCACATAAGCTCCACATACAGTCGCACCCCTAAATTTTGCAGAAGCACGATTTCTAAAAATTTTTGATTAAAGTTGTAAAAGAGAAAAGTTTTGATTACTAAATTGTGTATTAAGAAGAAATTTCAAGCAAAATTTCTATCATTTTTCTATCTTTTCAAAAAAAACCACTTTGGAAAAAAAAATGAATGGATCTGATTACCGGTTCGTCTTGCAACGTGAAATTTTGTCTTTTTGGAGACGAAATCGCAGCAAAACGTTGTTTTTATGCAGGACCTATTGACAAATGTCACATAGGATTGGTTGCATCGCAAGAGAATCCCCTCTTCTCTCCTGGCCGGTGCGTTCACCCGGCTTAAATGTTATCGAAAACGTTTGGAGCTTCATGGTGCGCAAAATTTACGACGGAAACAAGACATATCAAAATGTTGATGAGCTCAAGCCTGCCATTATCGACGGTACCAGGTCGACTATTGATTGATAGCCTCTAGCACAGATTGGATAATCGAGTTTTTCAGCTAATTCAGCGGAATCGAGCTGCTACTGATTATTGAAATAGAAATTGACGCTCAGTTATTGTTTTTGTTTTGGTTAATAAAGTATTTTTTGTACTGCGTTTATAATTTTGTGGATTTTCCAAAAGTTTTTTCGAAAAGATTAAAAGAAAAGTTTTAGGAGCTTCGCTTGAAATTTCTTTTTAATACACAATTTTGTAATAAAAAAATGACAACTTTGATCAAAAATTTTTAGAAATCGTGCTTCTGCAAAATTTAGGGGTGCGACTGTAATTATGTGGAGCGTTAGGTTGCAAAAAATTGGCTTTTTCTTTAACATCTGTCTTGGATTTAGGTTTTTATGACTTCAAGATTAAATTTTTAATATTTAATTTCAAGAATGGTACAGTCTCCGGTGGTAAAAGCACGTAGTGCATTTTCTAAAAGGCACATGATTTAAATTTACCGTCAGCAAACTGCCAGTCGGCCCAATTTTGATATCATTGACTGACCAGGGAGCCTCTTAAAGTTACATTTTAAAAGCGATCTGATTCCGAGGTGCAAACACCCGCTGGGTAGGAACATCCCAAACACTCCTTCCAAATTCTATTTCTCATAAGCCGTTTTCGAGATATATACCTTCAAAGTTTCGACCAATTTCGCCAAACGGTAAGCTAGCGTTCAGGCTTAGGCTACCCGCCTGAACTTAACGCGTTCAGGCGGGTAAACCAGCATTCCTCGGTAGCCTAGTGGATAGTGTGTTCGCGTTTCGAACTCTCTGTCCCTGGTACTGTCGATCGGGCCTTTTTGTTTTTTTAGAAAAAACACTCAAAAATTAATTCTTTGATGCAATGTTATCAAAACTAGGCTAGTTGAATGGTTGACTGATTGGCTACAATAGTTTTCTGAAATAAATGCCTTTTAGAAAATTAGAGCCCCTATTTGCCTTATCACCTTTCTACCGTATTCACTTACCAAACATCGGCGACCGTTTTACTGGATTGATATTTTTTATAGCTTAAGATGTTCGTTAAGAACTCTATTTTTAGAGAAACAGTCTCAAGATTACCCCAAATCTCATTTAAAAGAGCTACAATCGATTGAAGTTTGCCCAGTTTGCCCAATTCATGTCCATATTTACTAAAACCAACACTTTTCCATGCTAATCAACTTACATAATTGTATTTTAAATGTTTTTGATGAAATCTGAAAGAAACAAATACCGAAATGAGTCTAGTTTCTTTGGAAATGATCTTTGATTTCTTGTGTTCCCATATTGCACAACACTGTCGTGTGTTTCCCCTCTAGAAAAGCCCACTCTCTCAACCCCTCTTCCCAGTCACAATTTCCTTGAATTTCCGGTGATGGCGCATCACGTGGTTTCTCAGAGCACCTGCGATGGGCCAATTAAAAAAAAGCACATGGTGTGACGCTTCCCGGCTGCGGATCACGAGGCGCACGGGCCGCACGGCCCGCACGGCTGCGGATCACGGGCCGCATTCATATGAATTTTCGCGTCTTTTTCATTCAATTGCCCTCTATTTTCCTGAAATTTTTGCCAAATTAGATTCCTTCTCAAAACTGATATATCCTTGAAGAATGAAGAATTAAGAAGAATGAAGAAAAAAAGAAGAAAATGTTTTAGAAAACGATTCAAATCTTTTGATTTTGTGTAAAAAAAAATGTGCTTACGGCAGGATTTTGGCAAAGAGTGGCACAGAAAAATGGTTTGCGGTCGAAACGGTCGAATGAGTGTGATCTCCAGAAAAAGCGTTTGAAATTTTTGAATTTGAAATGTGGAGGGAATTTGTGGTTTCTCTTCTTGTTCAGATTAAAATTGTTTATTCGTAATAAAGGAATGAAAAATTTAAGCCTAGCAAAGTTGAAAGTTTAGTTTCTTTACAGATCCGCTTGAAATTGAAGATTTTCTTTTAAAGAAACTTGATGATTTTGGGCGTTTGATGACGATAGGCTTCATTCAAAAGTGAAAAGTTTTTGATTGACAATTAAGAGTAAATTATTTCTTCTGAAAAGTGTTTGATTTCTTTTTTATCGTGAAAAACTACTTGCTTATTGAAGAAGTTGGAGAAAAATGATGAGAATAAATGAATTCTGACATTGAAAGATAACAAAATATAACTTTGCGGTCATCAAATAGTCCATCATTCAACCAAAAACTCTCCAACTTCAGAATTCGCAAATGTTTTCATCACACAGGCGAAATTGAGCTCTTCCTCGAAATATTTGTGGCGACAGAGAACAGTCATCAGAACACGGGATTGACTTGCCGAGAAATTGAATTTGAAATAATTTTTCTCTACAATAAATCTCGAGTTTTTTTATCCAAATACTTCGAAAGTTTTCCTTCAAAATTTTCCTTTTCAAGAAAATTCTCAAACTTTTTTCCGACTTTTGATTCTCTTTTGTATTGAAGAAGATTCCCCATTTCTGAAATAGAATTCTTCATTTCTTTATAGAAATCTTGAGCCTCTTCATTGTTAAAATCTGAAGAGAAAACGAAAATTGAATCCTTTTCCAAAGTTTTCATGACAATTTGAGAAAATACTGATGGAGAATTTAGAAATTCCGTATTGAGATTGACTATTTTAATGAAAGATGGAATTTTCGAAACATTTTCGATGAGAATATCGATTGGAGCATTTAAGGCAAACAAGTGACAGTCTTGATTCAAATCGATACTTCGAATGCATTCACCCAGTGATTTCCCCGTTTCCCTATCGGAGTTTATCGAATCGATGATACAAGTGAGTTTCGTGGAAGATCTCGCAAAAAGATTAGACAATTGAGTCATTGGATAAAACTGCGAGAACACGAATTTCAACTGTTCAACTGGGTAGTTTGGATAAATTTCCTCAAGTTGAGCCATTTTTTCATTGATTTCGTTTTGTTTTTCTTGAGTCATTGTGATGCTATTGGCCGACCAATTTCCAATTTCTATGTGAATATATTGAGCTCGAATTTTAGCAATTGCCTTAAAGAAAGTTGAATGAAAAGCAATTGGATATTTCCCTTGATCTATTGGCCGAAGACGACGTGGCACAATAGCAATTTGATTCTTCGTTGTCGAATCTGAATCATCTGAATCATCTCTTTTATTTGGGTAACGATGAGTAGATTTTGTGGCCGTTTTTGGCCTTATTGTTCGAGAGCAATTGAAACCTTCCACATCATAAATTGTTCCCAATGTTTCATTTTTTACATCGATCGGTTTTGTAGCTTCAAGTTTGCACAAGCTGATTCCATGGTTGTCGAAAATGAACTCCACGGGAAATGGCCAAAGCATAACACGGAGTTGAATAAGTGATTGGGACGTTGAAACACTTTCACCGATCCAGAATCTCAATTGAAGAATTTTTCTCGGGAATAATCGATTTCTCTGCAAATATCCCCTCAATTCTTTATTCACTTTCATCAATGATCGATCGGGTTTTGTGTGAGAGAAAACTTGCAATCTTAATTGTTTTGGAAGAGTTAAGAGGGCGAATGGGGAAGGCATTTTTAAGGTAATTGGTAAGAGGATTGATAAATATATGAAAAATATTGTTTCAAATCAATATTTACAAAGAATAAAGCTTACGTTAGATAAAAAGAGACAAAGAAAATGTACGAGAGAGAGAGAAAGCGCTTTTTCACGAAAATCATTTGCCTATGGGTAACTAGTGCTAAAATAGTCAGCCAAGAGCAAATATTTGAGTCATTTCCTTTTCACCAGTTTTTTGGATTCTCTTTTGAAATTATTTCCTTCTAAACATGATTTCCAAATCCCTGAACCCTGAAAAGTCTTAACAATTTCTGACATCTGATACATGTACATGTTGACAAACACGATATTTTCAAATACAATTATTTATTGCTTCAAAGTGCCAATCATTTTTCATAGCTATTTGCCAGGCGCTTTCTTGCAAATAAATCGAGGTGCATTCCTCCAGAGCCAGGCCCAATTTCTCGGTGCAACTGGCATAAATGGATCATTGCGAATCTAGGTTTTATTGTCTTTATTCAAATTATACATTTTACCGCCCATGGTTGGATGCTTTCTGGAAGCGAAAATGTCCAATTGCCAAAATAATCAAGTAAAGTCGCGTCAATCCAATAATCTTTCCCAACAATTCCCTGGGCATTCAACCCAATCCAAACCCAATTGTATACTTCAAAATTTTGATCGGTTGGAGCCGGATCGGGGTTTGGATCGGCGGGAAAAGTTGTGTGAACAAGATCTAAGATATAAATAAATGAAGAATTCGATACTTTTCGGTTTTGAATTATTTCCTTCTAAACATGCTTTCCAAATTCCTGAACCCTGAAAAGTCTCCGTCTCTGAAAGTTTGAAAGTTCTGAAAGAAAAGTCTCTAAAAACTCTCTAAAAAAAGAAAAAAGAAAAGTCTCTAAAAACCCCGCCACCTTTCCACTTCGGTGATACCTCCGCCACTCCAAAATTTTAAAAAACGGTACTATGCGGTTAGCGCTCCCCCCATGCATCAATGCGCGTATTTATGAATTTAGCCTAGCCTGATGTCACTTGGGCAGAGGTCTTTAACGTCAGTAACCTGCAAATCATCGATGTGGGGGATAAATTCCAAAAGCTTGTCAATAAGCGTCTTGGTACTCCGATTAGCCACTTCAGCAAGGAAACATTTGTTTTGGTGGCGGGGGTATAACCGAAAAGTACCAAGAATTCTTTTAAAATCACCATAAACGAATTCATCTTCATCTGTTGTGTGAATCGATATAAGATGACTGTTCATTTGACGGCAATTCCCTTCTGCATCGTCCCACGAATAAAGTTGCCAATGGAAACCATCTTGTAAAGTGAAATTCTGGAGAGAATTTTTTATTAGATGAAGAAGATGAAAAATATCAAGAATATCAAGAATATCAAGAAGATCAAGAATATCAAGAAGATCAAGAATATCAAGAATATCAAGAATATCAAGAATTAGTACTCCACCTAATAGAAAGTTTATATCGGTTTATATCGGTTAAAACTCACATGTAAATAGTAACAGCTGTCAGTTTTATCAAAATAAACCCATCCCGGATCGCATTCGGCCTCTAGAATTTCTTTAGAAATCTATTTTTTCATATAAGCAAACGATTTCCATCAATTTGACAATAGAATGGTCTCGCAATTGAGCATTCAGCTGCTCTCCATTGAGCCGTTTGAGGGTCAATTATTGCACAAATTGTCGCATTGATCGTGCTCGTTGGTTGCCCTAAAAAATGTAAATATTTGTGGTGAATGTTTGAAATCATTTTTCCCATCCTTACTCAAACAGCTCAAACCTGGAGCCCAATTTGTGTAAGTGAGCCGTGCTCCGTCCGAATAAACCCACGTTCCGTTCGGTAACTTTTCAACGCCAATGTATGCGGCAGCTTCGTTAAAATCTATGAAAAATTTGAAATTTCAAGAACATTTTCTTTTGTACATTCTCCCAGTAATCCGAAAAGTATCGAATTCTCGAAAATGTTCTCGATTTTCACCACATCACCACCAAGTTTATTGCACTCTCGAACAGCTCGTGGATAATATTGAGCTATAAATTTGGATTTGCTTTATAGAGTATCCAAATTTACAGTTATTTTGTGCATAAACGCATTTGTGTTCATTTGGTATTTGAATGTACCCATTTGGACATGAAAACGAGGAAGTTGAATAGAAAAAGCTAACAAATATGAAAAAATTGAGAGCTCTCATTGCGAGATTTTCCGAGCAAATGAAGCTTTTTATCAGCATTTTCTTTGAAACAAAGGAATTTCTCTTTTGCTTTGTGGATGGCACAAAAAGAAAAAATTCAGCTATGAATTTGTACGCGGGGGTTTTCGGGATCCGGGAATCGATTGGAGCTAGTCCATTTTTATTGCTTTTGGAGCCGGTAAAAGCAAGTTCGAAAGTCAATTTTAAGCTCTTGCAATTGCAATGCAATTGGGGTAAACTGTAATTTAGACTTCAAAATAAAACTAAAATGGAAAAATTGATAGCTACCAAAAATACTGTAATTGTAAATGCGCTTCTATTTTTCCCCTATCCATTTTCGGACTCCCCGAAAAAGACACATAAAGAGGGACCATATAAAATTCTAAAAAATCTTTTAAAACCACTCTAACTCGATTGAGAATGCTGTAAAATGAACGAAAAACATGTTTAAAACAAGAAAATTTTTTACAGCCTTGACCCCTGGAGGGCAGACTAAAAAAATGATACTCGTACAATTTTTAGGTTTTAGATCCTGTTAAATTTTACTGCCAACCCTTTTAGGTTATACAGATGGCTCATATACACTTTTCAGTCAAGTCAAGTACACTTCTAAGCACTCTTCAGTCAAACTCTTTTTCAAAAGTAGTAACTTTTTGGACCACCAATTTTGTGGGCCCTTCAATTACAATATTTACGGTATGGAGTTTTTCTATACTTGCAATGTCACTGCTAATGCTATCTTCTAATGTGAGTGACTTCTCGTGAGATCCAAGTAGCACCCTTTGTTCCAATCGATCTTTTGCATTGCCAAGAGCAAAAGTTTAAAGAGATTGTTGCCTTTCCTGCATTTTTTGAAGCATTGTGGGTCAGTTTCGTTGAATAAAAGCCCTTGAAATCTCTTTTTTTTTCTAAAAAATGACTCAAATTTCGAAATTTCCCATCTGATTATTACCTAATGAGCTTCAAAGTGAAGTCTACAATCTCTTGGAATTCAACTCAACAATTATGAAGGTGACCGGAAAATTCAAAGATAAACTCTGAAAAATTGACCCGAAAGAGTGAATAAAATTGACTCTTTGATTAGCGGAACCGGGAAACTGGTTGACGGAAATGGGGAAATTCTTATCATCATTAATTTCTTTCCATCTTGCGCCATTAACGTCGATTTCGATCGTCAAGGGGAAATCTCATCAGAGATCACAAAAATCAACAATCACGAAGAGTTTCTCGATCGATTTCACAAGATCTTTTTCAAATTTTTATCAGAAGTTCAAACTCGTCGTCTCTCGATTCATTCTTCTCCTGGATCAAGTCTTTCAGCTGATCAAGTCTTGAGAAACGCTTGTCCAGAGTCACAAGTATTCGCAAGCTTTACTTCGACGAGTTGCCAATCGATTCAAACACATCAACGGTTTATCTTATGAATCTAATCTCTGAAGTCGATTTTTGGAAAAACTATAAAAAGCGCGAGTGCGTGGGTCATTAACGAATAGGGATAAAGTTAAAGCCTTGGATTGGAGACACGCATTCGAACATTTCCCCTCATTCATTTTCTAGCTTTTTCATTCATCTAAACTAATCTTTATCTTAAGTCAAGATCGACGATCATTGCTTCAAAACTCCAATTATTTTATCGATCTCGATTTCGACATCGAATGCAATCTCTTTTTCACGACTAGTTCCTCCAAAATGTACATGAGTCGGCTATACTTAGAGTGCTTTCAAGCACTGGCAAATATACTTGAAAACACGGATGGAGTTCGGCAAATCAACGGATTTTTCTCGGAATAAAGAATCTTTCGGGGTTTTCTTGGTGAGCAGTGGAGAAAACCGGAAGCTGAGCGTGATATCGGCCGTTTTTTTCAGTGGAGCCGATACAATCAGAAGTGTTTCTCGCAAATGTTTTCTGGGAATCGAGTCCGAGTAATGAACCTAATCGTTTTTCGGGCTTTTCCCGAAAGATTTTTGTATTACAAGTAAAGACTAATCCATCTTCTAAAGAGCACCTTTTTTCAAAACTACAGCAATCAAGTTATCATTTTTCATTTATTTAAGCTAATTTTGGTACCATTCGATGAGAAATCACAACACTCAGTCAATGGTATCAAAATCGGACTGAAGAGACTGATTTTCTTGTAAATTTCTTCAGCTCTCACATAGCTTTCTAAACTTAGACGAGAAATGAAAGTGGTTTCTTTGTCAGTTTCGAAGTTGACAAAGTGACGAAAGCCTTTAGTCCAATTTGTTGAGATTCTGAGAAAAATCGGGAATTGTTGTCGAGTAAGACGAGTTTGATCGAATTGGGAATGAATGAAAGTGAGTCAAAAATCCAATTAAAAGTCCTTTTTAATTTCCAAGTGAACACTTGACATTGCTTTTTCTATTTCATACTTTTCAATGCTTTTTCCAGCATTTCATTTGGATATAGTCCTGGAAAATTGATGAGTTTACGGTAATTAGCTTTGGAATAGCTTTTTCAAAACTGGTGACAGTGAAATTGAATCTAATTATGCTTTCTGTACCATTTTGTATCACAAAAGTTGAAAATTTTACTTCTGTTTTGAATTTTGATTCTCTTAACCCATAAAATTGAACGAAAAATATCTTCTAAGTAACGTTTAACTTTTGTGATAAGAAACTTTTCCCTTTTAAACAACTAGCGTTTGTGCCCATTCGTTTCCACACGATTTTTTTCGTTATTTTCCAAAAAAACTGACTGATAAGAGTGATCGATTTTTCGTAAAGCCCACTCACAAAACTTTTGTCTTTCTTTCATGTTTCGTGAATTAAAGCAAAAATTACGCAATCTCTTTCAAAAAGCTGTCAAATTCAATTTACTGTCAACAGTTCTATTCATTTGCATTTGTTTATTATCTGAAAGAAATCCGATTGATATTTTTCGAAAGAAAACTGTTCAAAGTGATGGAAACGATACAAGATCTGACTCATTGATATCAATATCAATTCTACTGCCATGTTTCTATCTAACAGCATACTTTTTACCAAAAGTTTTGGCAATCGGTGGTGAGTTGAACGGTTTTTGAAAAAAAAAACGGAGCTTTGCTTTCTAATCTAAACCGTTTCTGAATCGTCTAAAAATGAAAACAACAAATTTTTTAGACTAAACGAGACCGAGAAAACTAAAATTTGAAAAAGAATTACCACATTTTTTGCTTTAAACGAACGTTCTGATAACGAAAAGTAAAAATGTATAATGAACTAAGCAAGAATTCGAATATTGGGTTGGGGAGAATGAGTCGGCGCCGAGAATCAAAAAAATGTGTAAAACTTCTATTCGACTTCGTCAAATAATATGCGTTTGATATGAGTAGAATGGTTAACTAATTCTCTACAAAATCACATTTAAAAGAAAATTCAAACAGCGCCTCCGCTCAAGAAAAAGCCATTTTTTCACAAAAACTACAAACTGTCATCTAGAAAAAACCATTGGTGGGATCTTCCTGCAAATTTGGCAACTTAAGTAATTCAATGTGCTCTATCTTTTTTATATAACCACCAAAGAAGGTTTATGTGAAAGAAACTGTTCAAATGATGAGTCGGACTCTTTGCCATTTTAACCAGCTGCGTTTGGAAGTTCATAAACTCGACGAAAGAAAAGCTTTGTGGAATCTCTCAAAAGTGATTTTGTAGAGAAATAGTGGATCCTTTTGATCAAACCAAACGTATGTTTAAAGAAGGCTTTATGTGTGCAAAAAGTCCCTTTAAAGTTTGGCGCCGACTCATTCTCCCCAACCCAATAGTATTTGATATTCAAGCATTAGAGAAAAGATTGACCAAAATAGAGTCGGAAGCACTTGAAATTAGAAATCAAAGTAAATGCACAAGCAGGCAAAATCCCAAACAAACAACAACGTTAGCAAGTTATAGACGCACGTTTCAGGAATGATTCTTGTCGGAATCTTTTTCCGGAATTCTCCACTACTTGACGAATTTTTCCTGGTCCACTCGGAGACATCGGCTTTTTTTCAAAAGCTTGCCTACATTTTGATCATTTTTCGAAGCGGTTTTTCAATGGAAGTCAAGGATTTAGTTAAGATGAGGGTAGGAAAATCTTTGTATAAGCAAAAATTCTTTGTTTTTTCAGCTTTCTCTTTTCTCTATAGTCGTTTTGCTTGTGATTGGAGAAATTATGTTAATTTGTTTGTTTTCGGTTTTCATTCTCGATTACAATTGGTTGATTGGATTGGCTTTAGGTGAGTGGGTTTAATTATTATAAACAAAGGAAGAAATAACTTCAATTTCACTCCAGGAAGTCTCTTGAGCGGAGCCTCACCTCTTGTTGTCGACGGATGGACTCAACGAATCACCGATGATGGTGACTGAATCTTAAAATACATACTCAATTTTTTATTCAGTAAACAAGGAGAGCTTTCCCGATTCTCTTAAAGATCAATCACACGAAATTCTCAAAACTCTTCGATCGGTTTTGAGAGTGGGTGGAGCGTTGAGTGAAATGGTATCAATATGCACTTTTATGTAAGTAAATCTTGCACTAAAAAGTTGAAAAAGTTTAAAAATAAGAATCCCAGGACCACGCTTCGGTTTGTTTTCGCAAAAGAAGACTGTTTCCAAGCGGTTTTAATCCCATTGCCATTCGAGATTTTCTTTGCATTCTTGGCTGGACTTTTTGGAGGTAAATACTTGCCTAATTCAAAATTCCAAAAAGTTGTAGGCTTTATGATCCGTTACTGCTCCGAACCGCGTCGCTACTTTGACTACTCGAAAACTGAGGATGAAGATCGAATCTCGTTTCTCAAATCCTCGATTCTTTCGACGGTTCTAATTCTGACTGGATCGTTTTCTTTGCTAATCTCTGGAGAAATGATTGGATGTTTTGTTTTCGGGCCGATTGCCGTTTTCTTTTTTGGATTATTTTCGAGGATCACGATGAAGAAAAAGAGAAATCATGTGAGTTGCTGGGTGTTTCTTGGAATTGTTAAAATTCTGAGGTTGAATCTGGCTAGTTAACTAATATTATTAATTCAGTAAAGTACACTGATAGTGAGCTTGACTCTGAGTCATTTGTGACCCATTGAAACGTTTCATAAAATGAACACTCACACCTTTAGCAAAGACAAATAGAGCCTTTTTGGGGAGGTAGTCAAATGAGCGCCAAAAATTGAGCGCCAATCATTTCAGCGCCAATCATTTCAGCGCCAATCATTTCAGCGCCAATCATTTTAGCGCGCGTTCATTTCAGCGCGCGTTCATTTCAGCGCCGCACCAAAAATGACTGGAAAACATTCATTTCAGCGCCGAATCAGCCCATTCTGTATATGCATGTTATTTTTGCATTTTCTGCATGATCTCAAAGTTTTTACTGTATGTTTTTATTCAACTAGTTAACACGCAATAACAACAACAATTGCAATCGCAATCATCTAAAGATAAAAATAATTCTTGGCAGCAAAATAAACCCAAATAAATCATGAACAAAACGTTACTTTGACTCAGAGTGTTCCTTTGTCTCGCCGCTTCTTGCGCAGTTCACGAGCCTAAGCAAAGAACTATGTTAACTGTAAGCAAATTGTAAACGAAAACGGCAAGAAACGGTGAAAAAGCATGCTATTGGGGGAAAATATCATACAACTAGCAAATTTACACATTTTCATCAAAAAAACCTTAAATACGAGCTAATCTAACAATTTTTTTTCGCGCATTTGGTGCCTACTGCCGTGCCCTAGGTCAAATGAGTGAAAAAAGTGTAAAAACAGAAGCAAAACCCTAAAAAACATGCAAAAGCAGCGTAGAAAGCAAAAATATTAAAATTTAGTCGCGCTGAAATGAACGTTTTCCAGTCATTTTTAGCCCGGCGCTTAAATGAACGTTTTTAGGCCTTTTTAATTTGGCGCTCAAATGATTGTTTTCCAGTCATTTTTGGCACGGCGCTCAAATGAGTGGCGCTGAAATAAGCGTGAGCCAAATCGTTGGCGCTGAAATGATTGGCGCTCAATTTTTGGCGCTCATTTGACTACCTCCCCCTTTTTGATAAAAACATCAATGATACGGTAAAAAGGCTACAAAATAATTTCTGTAAAACTTTCCAGATCTACGCTCGCGTGAAAACTCAACTTTCCCTTTTGTGTACATTTTTCCTCGTACCGCTCCTTTTTGGTTTACTTGGATTCCATTTAAATTTTGAAATGGTCAATAAAATGTTTGGGGAACGTAAGTTTAAAATCTCGGTCTATTGGGTTGGTGAATTGAAAACTGCGGGCTATTGTCATATGTGACAGTTTGAGCAGTTTCTTCAAAAGAAACCCATTTTGGTGTCAATGGGAAAGTTGTAGAGAATCAAAAATGAAGCTTATATCCAAATTTCCAGAACGATTCAAAAACTGGTTTTAAAGAAATGCGAAATTTACGAATTTTCACAAAACTTTCA